TCAAGTATATGTTTTTGATCAGCGTTAAACTCTGAGTTTATTTAGCTTTGTGTGTCTGTCCATCCTAACATCCTAACGATAACTCAAAAATTAACTGAGTTAAATTCACCGAATTTTCACAAATGATTTGTTATAGTAAATGCCAGAACCCTATTTAAATTAGTTATCGTGGTACTGGTTCGGGTACCTGCCATACAAAAGCTGTGGTTTTGAAGTTTCGTACAGTTAAATATATTAGTAGGGCCAATATGTTTGATAAAAGTCGTTGAAATAGCTGGGCTCCTTTCTGGTAGCTGCCACACAATTCCAAAAGTTATTTAGCATTTTCTCAGAAATTATTGGAATTATAACATAGAAATTTCGTCAAAAAAAATGTATTATTAGGACTGTTATGTATGATAAAAATCGTTGAAATTTTTTGATTCTTTATGGTAGCTGCCATAAAACTTCAATAGTAGTTTGAAGATATCCTAGAAAATATTAGAAAACAGTACAATTTTGCATAAGATAATATGGTAATATACGGTCAATTACAATTACTCGCACATATGATAACAAATTCGTACGGGTATCATATTCGTACGAATAACAAATAAGTACAGGGTTGACACAGTCAACTCTATTTTTTCTCGTTTTTATTAATTATCATTTGAAACCTTGAAATTGTACTTAAAGTACCCCGAACAATAAAATAAGGAATAAAGTACTTACTAACTGAATTGTTCAGTATACTAGTATTGCAATATTAATGTCGTGTTTATGTATGGTTATATTATGTACATAACAGTAATTACACTATAATATACCTAGATATATGTCTTATTTAAAAACTCTTTGTCTTGCGAATTTTATTCAAGATCAAAGATTATCACCACATCGTTAAAATACGAAAGTTCATAGCATTAAAAAAATTAATTTTTTTAAAGAAGTGATGTACATTTTGTTATAAATTTCCTATGCACTTGATTGATAAGATTTTAATATTTTAGATTTCCAGTTTTTATTAGATTTCCAGTCATTATGATTGTACATGTGTTTTTAGAATCAGATTTTTCTTTCATATCATTTATATTGTAGTTACATCTACATATGTATATTGCTCTCATTACATTAATGAGCGGAATATAACACGCGATAGCTAATCTATTTTAAAATTTGCTACTCGTATAATATAAATTTTATTACATAAAATATAACATTGTTGTTAAATAAAACAAAAAAAAAAAATACATTTTCGAACTATGGAAAAAAACTTTATTGTTTAATTGCTTATAGTAGAGAAAAATAAATGTAAAACAATAAAAGCAATAATACAAATCAATTTTTAAAAACTTTCTGCAATAGAAAGGAACACAAATCCTAATATTGTTTGGCCTTTTTTTATTCTAATCTTAAAATTGGCCCAACATTTTAATGGTTTCGAGATCTGCATGGTATGTAGATGATAAAATGCATGTACGTGCTTTTGAACACATTCAATCATACGCACAATACAAAATGAAAATGTTCCATTTTCTCAGGCAACATAGTAACAAGAATTGCATTTATTTCTGTTCTGTTATCAGTGTTCACCGTTATAAGCTATTAACTACTTTGCTAAAATGGTTATATGATGTTTACACTATTACTTTGATAAAATTCTAAACTTAAATTTGTATGATGGACGTAATGACGTAAAATTCGCTTAAAAATGAATAAATCGCTTTATTACCATAATTTATCACAAAAAAAAATTAAATTTAAGGTTATTGTATTGTAATAAGGTAATAAGCTAAATGTCTCTTTTATGATAACGAAAAATGAGAGAAAAAAAATAAAAATATCATCCTAAATGTATGCAACATTTAAAATAAATAAATTTGTGTTACAAAAAATTTATTTAAGAAATTTCTAGTAATTTTTTGTTATTAAAACTTTTGTTTTTTTTATTGAATTTTTTTATTAATGTAAAATATGTTTCTAAATTCAATTTAGCTCAGAAACCACTGTATTTAAGGAACATTTAACATTAATCGGACATTATTGAACATTAACATTATTAATTAGATAACTGATTATCTATTATTCGAGTCATTACGTCACATAAAGTTATTTTGAGTTTGTTATAAATTTACGTTACATTACGTCGCATTATGTTGTATTTAACGTACGTTACGATTTCCATGAAATAGGAAATTCACTTCTTCAAAATTTTAAGTATAGAAATATGGGAATTCCCATAATTTTCTAAATTTTTTTTCTATCTACATATATGTATGTACATACTTGTAATATCTATATGTACATACATATCGTATGTACATATAATATCTACATGTAAATACTTTAATAATAGAGTCTAGATAATATTAGATTGTATGTACATATATAAATGAGCTTTTGATATTGTAGAAAATAAGAAATATTTTTTAATTGTACTTTGAAGAAATATTTAATAAAAATTATTGTTTATTTTTAATTAAAAATCGATGAGTAAAAAAAAAATAAAATCTGAGTTTGATCAGAGAAATTAGAAAATATTTTTTTTTTTAATTTCTCCAAATATATTAGAGTTTTTTTTTACCCCTTAGTCAGCACTTTGAAATATAAATAAGGAACTTTCAATATTGTTTGTTCAAAGTTCTTAAAATTTGTTTATCTTCATGACTCAAATAAAATAAATCTTGATAATGAACTCAAGTTCTTAGAAAATTACTATTTTAACTTTTATAAAATATGAAAAATTCTATAGTGGTTCAGTTAAAAGTTTGCGGCTAATATTATTGTTTCATTAAAGATTTTTTGTGATTTGATTTAATATTTTATGAATTCGTTAGTTGGGTAAGTCATCGAGCAGTCAAAATATTAATATTATTGATTTTTTTTAATTTTTGTATATTATATACATAATAACAGTAAAGTATATTTAAATTATTAAAAAAATATTTGCTCTATGTAAAAATTTTCAAATATTAGATCATAAACTATATAGTGCAATTTCATTCAAGTTCTATATAATTTTCTATGTATATTATTATCCTAATTATAATTATGATAATACAAAGTTCATTATCACCGCAGAATTTATATTAATTTATTTATTATATATATATACGTACCCACATCATAAAACTTTATACACTATATACTATATAGTGTCATATATAGGACAGTAATAGTATTTGCGGGAAAAAAAACAAACATAAATTTTTTTTTTTTTTAATTAAAAACCGCAAAATACAATTTTTTTGTTTTTTATCGTAAATGGTTAATGTACAAATTATAATGTTAATTGTTGTGATTTGTTTTTTTTTTGATTTAATTTAGTTTAATTTAATTATATACGGTTTGATTAGTAAAAAGTTCAAAAAATTTTGCGAAATTATTATTAATTTTTAAATAATTAAATTATTTTATAAAATTCGTGTTCGTCATACGTTAGTATAAAATAGAGTATTTTAAGAAAAAAATTTTGGGAATTCTAAGAGAAAAGCAAAAAAATTTTTTTTATCTATAAATATTAAGTACCAGAAAAGGTCATTGGAGATAAAAAAATTCGTAAATAGTTTAAAAATTTTAAAGATGGAAGTGTCGTTGAACTGAAATATGTAGGTCGTTTCCCATGTATATCAAATGTTTGTAACTGACTTTTGTCATGAATTCCGATGGTAATGTTGCATCATAATGGATTCCGATGGTCATGTTGCGTTATAATAAATTCCGGTGGTCACGTTGCGTCATTGGTACGCGTCATAAATTTCAATATAAGTAGCCAATGCAACTGATTATCATTTTAGTTTTTTTTTTATTTTTTAAATGCTGATGCATAAATAATTTTTACATGTGACGAAATGAATGACGAAGAAAATATTTTAATTTTCCGAAGTAAATTTTAAATTTTCCGCTTGATTGAAATAATTTTTAAAATTTCAATTGAGAAAAGTGTTTATAATTGCAGATGATTGGCATTTTGCAAAATCAAGCGAATAACGTGATTAAAATTATTGTTAAATTTTTGACATACTAGTATAAACGGCCAATACCTATATATTTCTTTGTACATTTCTTTCTAAAATTTTAGATATTATAAGCCGTTGTGTATATATGTAACCGCAGTACCAATTCAAGAATAAAGGATGTTTTTACGAAATTTTTGAACAAATGTTTATCCAATTAAAAATTTATATTTGATTTTATTTCTTTTGTTACTAAGAATTGCTCCATTCTTTTCAAATTTTCTGTGAAACTCAATATTATTATGTTCGCATAATAACAAAAATTACAACAAAACTAAGTGAAAAATTGCTAATATCGTATTTTACTTAAGTTAACTCAAACACATCTTGTTTATAAATTAAACGTATTATACGAGTTATTGTGTTTTTGTATACGCAATTTTAAATAATTTAAAAATATAATAAACATTTCATTTATGCGCGACTATAAGTATTGAAATTCATTTAAAAAGAATTTACAATATACAATTTAACCTAGATGATCTTAGTATTTATGCAATAAATTTATCATTTTAAATGTGGACAACAATAGATTTTACTTACTCGCAATGAAAATTAGTACCTTTAGAAATACCTTTAAAATCAGATAATTTATGATAAGCAAAAAATTCTTTTATAACAACGAAAACATGAAAAAGTACTGGCATTTCAAAAACTCTCGTAAAATTGTAATTGAAAAATTATTTTAGTGTTTTACCAAATATTGAAGAAATTGTTTAAAATTAAATTCATCTTCAATTTCTTGTAATATCTTTTTTTTTTTTGTTAAATAAAAAAAATACAAAATTTTTGTTATACCCTTGATTATAATGAAGAAAAATTTTGCATTTAATGAAAAAATATCCAAAAATGACCGTAAATCTATATTACAAAAGTTGTATTTGACAAGGTTGTCTTAAATTTTAATCTGAAAATTTAAATTATTTCAAATTTTAATTATGGAATTAAATGAATTTCTTGATTGGGACAATAATTAATTTCATAAAATAATTTTTTAAATTTCAGAATGGGCTCTTTTAATTCAGCCCCAAAAATCAATAATTCGGATACACAAGATGATAATTTGATTATACCAAACGGATTAAACTGTACAGAATTAATTAAACATTGTAAGGCTTTAAGAGGAGAGAACCGTCCACAATTGTTAAAAAGGCAATTTATTAATCCAACATTAACAGCTGATGAAACTGATTTGTGTGAAGGATTTAATCATATAAATCTAACAAATCCAATAACATCAAAAAGTAATTATAAATTTAATATTATTAATAAATTTAACTTATTGTTTTCTTAATATTCGCAGATATTGGAAAAATATTAAAATCTTCACCACATCAAATACGTGTATTTCAGTGGAATATTTTATCTCAAAGTATGTTCAATAATTTTAATGACCAAATAATTGTTTTCTAACTATACATAAAGTTTCAATCGAAGTTGTAATTTTTTTCTTATTTTATTATTATTTTAATAGGTCTTGGTCAGAAAAATGATGGTTTTGTTTGTTGTCCAGATGAGGCCCTCACATGGGATAACCGAAAATTTCTTATAATTGAAGAAATTCTTCAAAATGATCCCGATATTATATGCTTACAAGTAAGTATGCTTTCAACAATTTACTAACAACTATGTACAATTTTTTTGTTAATTCCATAGGAAGTCGATCATTTCAAATTTTTAGAGAGAATTCTCGGATCACAAAATTATTGTGGTATATTCTTTCCAAAACCTGATTCACCATGTTTATACATCGAAGAGAATAATGGTCCAGATGGCTGTGCAATATTTTATAAACGTGATAAATTTAATTTACTTAATTATGATACCAGAATCCTTGAGGTATGGCATGTTCAAAGTAATCAAGTTGCAATTGTTGCAAATTTAAAATTAAAAGATTTAGATAAAGAATTAACTATTTGTACAACACATTTAAAAGCACGTAATGGAGCATTATTATCAAAATTACGTAATGAACAAGGAAAAGATCTTTTGAAATTTATTAATGATGTTGGCGGTAACAGACCAGTTTTATTATGTGGTGATTTTAATGCAGAACCAATTGAACCAGTGTATAATACAGTTTTAAATAATAGAGAATTGGAATTAACAAGTGCATATGCAGAAATTAATAAACAACTTGAAGAATTAAATGATGATTGTAAAATAAGAAATTCTGGTATTGATAAAACAAATAATGAAGATTGTAAAAATTTGGAATGTAATGGTGATGAAGAATTAAAAGAAGAATGTAATGTTGCTGAAATTATGGCAAAAAAAGAACCAGCTTATACAACATGGAAAATTCGAGAAGAAGGAGAAATTTGTCATACTATTGACTATGTATTCTTTTCAAAAAATCATTTTCGGGTAAATAAATAAATTTTTAAGATTATAGTAATAATAAGTCATTTTAATACTATCAGTAAATACCTTGCATACGTCTTAAAAAATAATTTTAACAATACCGAAACTAATTTGGAACTATTTTTTAATGAATCTAATTAAACGTGTGCATTACTAACCAGTTTTCCGAAAATAGGAAACATTTTTACATAATTTCTCGGCAATAATATTTAACTTTTTTTTAATTTTCCGGACAATTGTTGGAATTATTGTCAATTTTATTAAATAAACTAAAACGTTTGCTTATTTTTCATTTTAGGTTCAAAACTGTTTACTATTTCCAAAAAGTGAAGAAATTGGAGAACACCGTACACCATCTTTTCGTTATCCATCTGATCATTTTTCATTAGTATGTGATTTTGAATTTCTGGAAGAGAATTCAGAAAGTTCTACAAAATCATCTGAACATTGTAATAATATAAGCAACAATAATTAGCTAGCAAAGATAAATAATATTATACTTTTAAAAAAATAATAAAACACACACACATATATTGGGCTTTTTACACTTCAGATACACATTAATTTTTTCAACATAATTTATGTATGATTAAAAGAAAAAATGGAATGTAATGTGATATTAGATTTAATATTTGAATAGTATAAATAAATATTATTAATATATTTTTATCGTTCTAAAAAAAATATTGTTTGGTTTAATAATATTGCAAATAAAATTATAATTGAATATATATTTTAAAAAAGAGAAACACAAAGAAAAAGAAATAAAACAAATTTTAATAAAACACACTGTATAGCAGACTTCTTGTATTAAGAATATAAGCGTTGACATAAAATTCTAGTTAGTAGGACAAAAACAAAGAAAAAACAAGCAACAAAAACAGAAACTTAAATAAGAAAATTCAATTAGAAATTTTAGAAATTTTAGAAAAAAATTGATTTCTTCATTTTGTTAAATGCTATATGTATATTTTTTTATTGTAATACATTTTTAGATTAAATCAGAATAAATTTTCACTGAAAATTTATACACTTATTAACTAAAAATCAAAAAACAAAATCAAAATGTTCAAAATTTAAAATAAATAAATCTTGCTATATAAAATACAAAAAAAAAAGGAAAAAATTCAGAAAATATAAAAGTCAATTAAAAAAATATTATGTAATTTTATAATTTATTTGAAAATTATGTTGTACAAAAGAAGTTTCATTAAAATGTCCTTAAAAATTCTATTAAATAATTTTTATTTATTTCAAATTATAAAAGTGAAAATTTAACAGACTACACATGGAATATTTTAATACCAATTATTTCGTTAGTGTTGAAACAACAAGTAACAACATACTGGTTTTAATTAATTCGAAAAAAATTTTTAAGAAAACTGATGATACCGAGAACAAAGCAATACAACTCAAAAGCATACAATATATTTGCATAAAATCCGTTTGTCTGAGAATTTTATAGTTAAAGAATAAAAACTTGTTTCAGAGGTCTATATTTACTGTTCGTCTATTCTGTGTTTTGATTCTGATTAATTGAGATGAAGCGCTCAAACATTTAGAAATATGCATATTTCCATGTTTGAGCGCTGCAAAGGAATATTCCATGTTTCCTTTTGCAAAGGAATATTACTATGGTAATGTTAAAGGGAATATATATCATAACCAACATATCTACCTAAAAACTTACACTTATTAAATATTAATTAATTAATTGATAAATTAAAATTAAATAATTATAAATCAGTGAATATATTAAAAATATAATTTATTCAATTTAAATATAACTTATACTAAGTTTCTCCTATTGGATTTGAATAAAATATTACTATATCATGTATTGCTGTATATGTACCTATAAATAATCCTACAACTGCAAATAATATTAAAGCAGCACATTTATATAATATATAATTAAATCGTCCATAATCTCTATCTTGAAATCTTGTACAAACTTCAATTAATGCAGGAAATGCAATGCCAAGTAATGTTAGACAAAATGCTCCAATTAAAGCTAAGAAAAGTCCTATATTTGGTATTGCGACAGCAGCCAAAACTAAAATGTATAAATAAATAAAATATATATATGTATGTATATTAAATTTAAAAAAAGAATTTTTTTATTAAATTTGAAATATGCATAATTAACATTTTTCATTCTAACTCCATTATTTAATCAGTTAAGAAAAACTAAAACATGTTTTTTCGGCAAAGACGTATTCAAAATACTGTCAGGGATTTCTTAATGTTTTCTAGCAACATTTTACAATTTATGCTAAACAAAATTTTTTTTAATAATACAACTTTAAATCACTTACATGTACACATCACGATTCCAAGTCGAATTGAAAACTCAATTAGTTTCTTTCTCGGATGATCTTGTAACTTTTTACTTAAATATTGATACCATATAATGTCTATTGGCACATAACCTTGTAATGGATATGTAAAATACATTGCCAGGGCAAACATTGCTTTAACAACTTGAGCTAAACTGAAATAACATAAGTTTCAGTAAAAATTAACGAAAGTTGAATATACATGTACACGAGTTCAATAATAATATTTGCATAATAATCTATTATAAACTCAAAATTTCGCTTACACGTCATTTTTCGGAATATTTAATGTTATGCTTCCTAACGCATCATCTCCATATCTCCAATAACCAAAAAATCCAAATACACCGTACAAAGTTAAAACTACTACAGCACCTCTGTTCATTACACCAAAATATCCAAGAAAATCTTTCGGTGTTTCCATATTCTGTTCTAATGCAATAATCTTTTTAAAATAAAAATTATAGTTCACATTGAATAAAAAATTTTTACATTACATAGGTATTGTAAGGTCACAAAAAATGTATATGAATTATATAATGTACATACCACTCCTACTGATTCCAATGCAAATAAAGTTGTACCAAAAAATAATGGAAATTTACTTATATCAACAAACATATCTCTTTCTGAAATTGGTGGAATATCTCTAAATATATAATAAAGAATAACACTTAAACCTAAAATTATTTAAAAAATGTTATATGGGTTAAGTTTATTGTACATTTTAATCATTACCAATGCACATTAGAATATTGGCAACAGTTGAAAATGGTGCTAAATTTTTTAAATCTCTTATATTATATATAAGAACTAATGGTAAGATTATAATTGCCATATGTATTCTTATATCAAAATCAATCAAATAATAATCAATTAATTGTTTAATTGTACTAGCAATGAAAACAACATATATACAACATATTCCACTATGATATATAGAAAGTAACCAATTCACGATATACCTAAAAATAAAAATTTAAGCAGTTTTAATATTTTCATTGTAATATATTAATTTTAGTAATAACTTATTATATTTGTATACTTACCCAGCACTTGGTGCCAAAAATCTTAAAAATGGTGGACCAGTTTTGAATGCAATTCTCATTGCATTTGGATATGTTAAAAATGGAACTTTTTCTCTTTTCGCCAAGATGTACATACAACCAATCTGCAAATATTACAACGATTCCAATTAACAATATGGACTATGAAATCCAATTAAGCTTTCAATCTTATATTACATTTTATTTTTATGTTTACAATCAAAGTACTAAGAAAGTTATGAAACCGAAAATATAATCATGTTTGTGAGAATTGAATAAAAATAAATTAATATATTGTATAACGCATTGTAAATGGTTATACAATATATTTTTCAGATAATATTAAAGAAATTTTTATTAAGGTTTTCAAATACTCACCAAAATGTGCATACAAAAAATTGCTATTACACCAACCGCTATCGTTCCAATAATACCAACAATATATCCAGCATTTGAAAAAGCTTGAGGCATTGCTAACAGACCGGTACCTACACATCCTTTTACAAAATGCGCGAATGTTTCAAAATTTCTAAAAGTAAATCAAAATAAAAGAATTTCCATGCTGCATTTCTTATTAAAATTATACATTAATTAATGGATAAACGAAATAGATGTAAGTACATATATGTAGTATAAAATATAGTAATTGACACATACATGGATAATGGCTAGATCTAAGACTTCTAAATTCTAAGGAAAATAATAAGGAATTTAGAGTAACGATTGTTTAAAATTGTTTATAATTTTCAACAAAAAATAAATCGGTAATTAACTATTATAAAAATGAAGATATTCTAATTATACTTTAATATTGAAAACGGCAAATATAATAAATGTTGCATATTTTCAGGATGACAATAAAAATTAAAAGTAGCATTGACATAATACTCGTAAATTGAAAACGACTGCTAATTAGGTCAGTGGGGGTACATAATTTCGTGCATTATGCACATATATTTTGATGATACAAAGAATGTACTATTAGTTTTATAGAAACTTAAATAGAAAAAAGATATATATATATACCTCAATCCCTGAAAAATAGGTCGACGAAAGTTTGTTTCAATGATACATTTTATAAATTTTTAAGAGTTTTTTAAAATTTCACAGTTCCATAACTTATTATCTAAATAAAAATTTAAAGATGTTAAATACTAGAAAAAAAATATTGGTTTGAGATAACGATTAATTTCAATGGTTAGCAGTAGAAGAATGTCGTCGCTGTAATTCAGCGTTTGTGGAATTTTTAGAAATATTTGTGATTTCGACACAAAAAATTGTCAACAAATGATATTGTAAGAATTTTGGGAGCATAACTTTTAGGTAAAATCATAATATATTATTGTAATGAACCACTCATTCAAATAGAACCACGCATTCATATATGATAATTTAGAGACTGTGTCAGTTGGTTAATAACAAGCAAGTTATTACATCAAAAAGCTTTTAAGCCTTTTATTCTAACTATTCACAATGAATTACGAATCATAATAATATCTATAATTTTTAATCTCTTCTAGATTTCTGATTTAATTTTTCTGAAAATCAATTATTACAATCGACAGTATAATTACAATATTGTTTGTATAATATACACATATTAGTTTTATGTATACGTATCTTGGGCGCGATTTTGTATTAAAAACATTAATTGAACAACTTATATGTGTTTTGGATGCATACTTAGTTTAAATATGTACAGTCGGATCCGTTTCTAAGCACATCACGAAATCCCATGATTTTCGTTGCTTATACCCATTGTTTCTTATAAACCAATTTTAAGCAGAAATTTTACTTCCAAGCGGGTTTTGATCTAATTCAAGCAGCTTCACGAAAATTTCAAAAAGGTTTACAAATTAAATTTCAAATATAGATGATTTTTTTAAGCTTATTGAAATTAAATTTATGACAACTGTAATATCAAAATTGGGTTGTAAATGAATTAAAAAAATTTTTGTGTTATATTTTTCTTTTCCTTATAAAAGGACCTCAATTCAAAGAAAAAGAGGTATATTCCAATAAGTAGTCTATGTTTATTTAAAATGTTTTTGCTTATAATTAAATCGTTTACAAGCTCGTGAATTACGAAAATGTAGAAAAATGCATAAAACAAATTTTTACAAACAAAAGAGTTTTGATTTGTAAGTCGCTTATATACGGATCCCACTGTACATATTTACACATTACATAAAAATACATATATTAATTTATAATAAAAAATATTATTACAAATTTAAATGAAAATATTATTGTATTATTGAGGTATTTTTAAATTTTATTTTTCTATACTTTTCAATGCACTTTCAATTTACTTGATTTAATAATTTAATAAATTAACTACAGTATATTTAAAGTGTAGGAAGTCCATACATTATTTACTTATATGCTAACTATTATTTACATTTAATAAATACAAACTTACGTAGTTGGATGTTCAGGTTTCCGATGTTTATATGGATCATAATCATTTACATTCCTATTTAAAAAAACAAAAAGTGAATGAATAAAATAAGAAAAAAAAATCAAAATAAAATTATATTGAATATTTTATGGAGAATGGAAGATTTTTAATTGATATATTTGTTTTTCATCATTGCAAATATTATTCAAATTTATATCTACTTATATAACATTTAAATTAAGTATAATAAACAATATTAATAATTACTGTTCGTGATTTTATTATTAATATACATATATAACGTGTTCATTATAGGTTATGTTTAGTCGTTATAGTTGGATAGTTTTATTTAGTGTATATACTCGTATTAAATATACGTATATATATAAAACCATTGTTTTTTTACATAGTTTATGGAGCTATATAGGAGACAATTTTTGTATTTATAGATCAAACTATTTTTTTAAAGATGAGTACCAAGTTTTTTAATTAGTTCGATAGTGTAATTACAAAAATTGCCTTCTGTATATAAACTATAAACTATTTACACAATAATAAAAGCGTTCTTTAATTCTTAAAAAGCCAAGCGAAGCAAAAATAAAATTTACCCATTCCTGGAATCGTTTTTGTTTTTTGAACTAATGACAAGATCCAACATAATTTAAATTCTAAAAAGAAAAACAAATAATAAAAAATTAATTATTATTTTGTTATTTAATAGTACTATATATAATATATATTATGATTATTATATATACATATATATGTATGTATATATTTTCTTCTACTATAAATTTCAATAAATTAATATCAATTTTTAAAATAGTAGTTATGTTAATTCAAATTTTTATTTTAACTTAACACAAATAAATTATATTATAATAGTATAAAAAAAAATTTACAATCCTTTATTTTACTTTTCATTAAAGTTTGATCAGTGGCGTACATAACGAAATAAAATCAATTTATAATTCGATTTAATTAGGTACTTAAATTGCTTAAATTGAAACTAAGTAATAGTTCATTTCGAATTCAAAGTTAAGGTTTTGGTTTTTTTCGAGATCTTGCACATCGAGATCTTAATAAAGTATTTTTAATAAAATCTAGATTATATCTTGGTAAGTGTACATATACATAAGTAATAGAATATTCGGGCAATTAAATAAAGGACAATTCAGTTCTCTTATTCACTAACAATTCAGTTCTCTTATTAAAATGGTTTTCCGAAATTCATATTACAACACTTTATCAGTATCTTAATTCATATTCATATATAAATATATGTATATATTCCGATCTTATTAACTATTAAATCAATTAACTGGACTAAATTGAATTAGGTAAACACTAAAAAGAAATAATCTGAAAGGCCCAAGAGCATTTTAAGGTACAAGTTTTTTTGATCAAAATTTAGAATAACAAGCATAAAATAAAATGGTTATACCACTGTCAACTTTCCTTTTTTTGTTTAACTTAAAATATTACATAAGAGAGTTTTACATTACAGTTATTATTATACTTATATATTTAAAGCACACATACAAAGGTATAGTTTTCTCCCTATTAACTTAATCTTAACCTTTTTCAAGGTTGATTTTATATAATTAAAACAAATTTATTATATGTAATATTAAAAGAAATTTGACTAACACAAATACAATTTTTAGCATTTCAATCTACAGCATTGAAATTAAGATTTCTAGGAATTTTGTCAATAAGCAAAAAAGAACTTTCATGCTTGCCCGGATAATTTGGGTGTATACAAAATAATTATGCCGAATATGGTATTAACACACTTAAAGGTTTAAAATTATAGCCACAAAATATCGTCAAATTTTTAATGAAATTTAACACATGAAACATGAATAAACTTTTAACATAAAAAACCAGAAATAATCGTCAAAAACTGAAATGCTCTCATTTTTAATTTTTTATACTTGTGTAATCAAGGTGTTTAATCACAAAATACGGAACGGAAATTTTTTGTGATCTAAAAATCTCTTTTTATATGAAAATTAAATCAGTTAACTGAATAAAACTATTAAAAATATTAAATAAAATATTTCTCTTTTCATGTAAAAAAATCAAAAATCTTTTATTGTCAAATACCCTAGACGTATAATTTTTTTTCTCAAATTATGCGAAATTCTAACATTTTATTTGTTACACTCAAGACATACTTTTTTTGTTTTTTTTTTAATGATTTTTTAATACGAATAGACATAACTATTATAATATCATGCCGCATATATTATAATACCAGTAACTAATTCAATATTATATATTTAGCAAGTAAACAAGATTATTAGAAAATAGTCTAGTCTAGAATAGGATTAAATATTTAAAATTATGTTAGTTTTGAAAGAACGCATGCTGAAACATAAAAAAAAGTGAATAAAATTTATAGGCGCGTAAATAAAGCTTGGAAATTATTACTAGTAATATATTCGCTTTTTGTCCAGTAATACTTATTTACAACTTTATAAAATTGTGGAAATTTACTTTAAAAATTTCTTAAACCTGTATTTAGGTACATATGTACGTAAGTATATATGTATATGTTATCCTTATTTGTGCTATACTCCTAAAAATTGTACGTGACAATAAACTACGATTTACTTATTGCGTTGCAAATTTTATTTTGATTACTGATTCGAATGCTTTATTATTTAAATTATACATTAAATTACCGAAAATATAAATACATACATATGACTATTATAAATTTAATTATTGTAATTAGAAATTAACGAAAGAATAATATCTTATATGTATATGTAAATCTTCATGATCAATTTATGCAATATAATTTTTGAAAGAAAGCATTATATTGGGATTATTTTAAATTTTATATGCCTACTTTTTGGTCGGAATATACCTCTCCTAGCAAAACAATAATTTTTTATGTCCGTGAGTCTCTTCACTTGTCTAAATACCAGATTAACGAAAATCACGAAAATCATTTTTAACATTTTTAACATTTATTGTTCCAACTAGCAATTTACAATATTTTTACATTTATGCTTTATGTAGTGATCGGTTTTCACCTTACAACTATAATATAATATACATTTGAAATTTTTCGACGAATTTACTAAAATTTATGGGATGATATGTAAGAGGAAAGGAACGAAAAACCTCTTTTGAAATTATTTTATAACTTAATAGCTAAAATTAAACCTACCTAATAACTAACAAGGGGAAGGAACGGGAGGGGGAAAAAACCAGGGTTTGGTAATTGTATTAACTTAATTAACAAAATTTTATTTTATTTGTTATTTATTTTTATTTTTATTTTTTGTTTTAAATAAATATATTCTTTATTAAAGGATTCTCGGAAACGATACTCTTATCAACAAATGAGCAACTTCGATTTGTAATTAGATCTTCTATAAATTTAACACTACTTATTTCATGTAACCTCGCAGTTGAAAAGAAAAATGGTTTGTCCAACAACAACTTTAAAATCTTATTTTGTTTAATTTGAATACGTTTCAAATGTGTTTTAGCACATGTACCCCAGACCTCAGAGCCGTAAAGCATCATACTTTGGAAGACAGTTTTGAAGAGTGAAATTTTGTTATCAACTGAAAGAAGTGATTTCCTATTTATTAAGGGATATAATGTTTTTATAACGATGTCACACTTTTTAACCAAAAAATCTATATGGGTCCTAAACAAGAGTTTTTTGTCTAATTGTAACCCTAAATATTTTATTGAATCCATCCATGCTATCTCAACGCCATCAAGTTTTAAACCACAAGTCGGTAAGAAATCGGTCCTCCGCTTTCTACTGAAAAAGCACGCCTGAGTCTTAGATACGTTGATCTTTATCTTCCACTTGTAGTAGTAGTTCCTGATGGATTCATAGCCATCCTCCAGATTTTGTGATACGACAGTGGCATCCCCGTGAGTACTGAAGATCGCTGTGTCGTCAGCAAATATCCCCAATCCGCAGTTCTCAGGTATGGGTATGTCCGATGTATAAATGTTAAATAAAACTGGACTTATTACGGATCCCTGTGGAACCCCCGCCACCATTTCCTTTTTCTCTGACCTGCAGTCGTTTATTTTCACAAATATAGATCTTCCGTATAGAAAATTTTGTACTATTTTCGTAAGATACAATGGAAAACCAAGACCTATCATTTTATACACAAGACCATCATGCCATACAGAATCGAAAGCTTTCTCAACATCAAGGGTTAAAAGTCCCGTGGATTTTGCATCTGTGAAGCCATCTCTTATATGGTTTACAATACGACTGACCTGATGGGTTGTGGAATGATTCCTCCTAAAGCCAAATTGTTCATCGGGAAAAATGTGATTTTCTTCTATAAAATTCAACAGTCTATTTTTCATAACTCTCTCCAATATTTTACTCACATTACTTAACAAGGTAATTGGCCTGTAGTTCTTAACGATTAAAGTAATACCAGATTAAAATTTTCATATTTTCATATTAAAGTGCCTCTCTTTGATTAGGAAATAAGTGTAGAAAAGACACTCTCACTTAATATTTCAGTTCATTTATCTTGATTTATTTCACGCAAAGTTGATTATTATTATGAAAATCGCATATCTCTTTTATATTGAGATTATTAATCAAATTTTATATCAATTATATTTGCAAAGAATTGCAAGAAAATTTTCAACTTACACTGTCTGTTACAAATTTATACCTTTATATTTAAAATCAATAAAATAAATTTAAAAGTATATTCTACAATTTGGCATTCTACAATTTAAAACATTTTGAAGATATTGACTTGAAAACCAAATCATAAAAATCGAAATATCGTCAAATAAACTAATTATATATTACTTATGAAATATTGAGCCTTATTCTAGTTGTCGCGTCACTTACGTGACATTTGTCGTTGTCGCTGTCACGTCACTTGAAATGTGGTATTCTAGTTGTCGAGTGACGTGACTGCGAGAAATAAACGAAAATGAAACGTTTCAAGTGAAATTGATACATTTTAAAAAGAAATTTTGGTGAGTAAAGTTCAAACTAAAAAAAAAAATTCGGTGTATATATTTATTTTTTTAAATAAGAGGGAAATAAAAAATGTCGTCATTTGCATTATGGTTTACGGATTCATCAGATTCCGAGAGTGATGAAATCGAAAAAAAACAACAATTAAGGATCAAAAGATTTAAGATTAGGGACAACTCTAATCCATTGGATTTGCCAAATGGAGTGTAAGATAATAATTTTTTCAAATACATTAGTTACAAACATTTTATTTTATTCACAGATTTATAAGCTATTACAGACTTTCAAAGGAGGCCTTTCTATATTTACTAAATATATTTGAGGGAAAAACAAGTACCCTGATGATTCCTTCATCCATGGCAGTTAGTTGCGCTAATTTAAATAAACCACCGCCAGTTGAATTTAATTCCTTTTTGTTGTGCGCCAGTTTTTTTTTTAACTTCAATTTGTAGTCACACCAAACCTGAAATTTACATAAATTAATTAAATTTTAAATGAAACTTAAGTTAAAATTACCTTCTGCCATCCTGTAGTACTTCTAATGGGCGGACCCAAGCTATTAAGCTTTTCTGTTAGCTGGTTCCATTTTGCATCAAACTCGCATTTGCTTATGCAGCTATTCTCAGCAAATTTAAGGCCTTTCGCAATAAAGGCGTTCTCCGTCATAAAATTCCCCAATTCTTCAAATTGCTTCCTTGTTGTTACTTTTACGCTAAAAATAAAAATTAAATAATATATTATATGGTTTAATTTATGTATTAAATTACAAAATTTATTATTTTTTATATTTTTATTATATTTTTATTAAATTGTTTTGTTTAAACTTACATTTTTGGTGTATCCATCTCGCTTGTCACTTGTTAAATACATTTCGACAAAAAACGTCGTTTCACTACGACATTTGTCGCTCTACAACGACAACTGGAATATACCTGAAACACATTTTCCCGCTATTCCACGACACGTGTCACTGTAATCGCCATTTAGAATACCAAATTCAAGTCGTGACGACAATTGTCGCTCTACTTCGACAACTAGAATAAGGCTCATTGTGAAAAAATAAAATCAACTGTTCATATTTGAAAAATATCAACTTTCATATTTGATCCGAAAATAATTTTGTTTTTCTACAAATCTAACTTAACATTTTATCTGGTTATGTTAAATGTTGAGTTAAGTAATTTTTAATCACAAATTTATGAGTTTAAGTAATATTTTTAAATCACAAGTTTATAAAATGTTTATTGAGTAAATGAAGAAATTTTATATGGAAAAATAATGCATTAATGATATTTTTAAAAAAAAAAAATTTGTTAAACTTCATTTTGTTTTTTGTATTAAACAAAATTCAGTATATGTTACATACATGTCATACATATATACCTATTAAATACATCATAATTAAAATAATTAATAAACTAATTTTTCCGACACCTAGTTTTATATATGATATGTACATATATAAGTATGTAATGAAATAATAATATAACAACATGTTCTATAAGTAAATAAATTCATTAAAAATATTTTTCTCAAATAAATTTTATTACACCTTTATCTAACATCATAAGCCCATTATTAACAAAATTACTCATATATAACAAAATACTATAAATATAGATAAAAAAACAAAACACTTTTGTTGAAATAATTTTTGAAATTACACCGTAATTAATTTACACATTTATAAATATATATGTAGCACATTATGAAGGAAATTTTTCCACGTAACAACGAAAAAATGAATCGTTAATTAAAAGTTAAATTTAATTAACAAAAATAAAAGGTATACTGGTACAAATTACAAAAGCACGTTATTTCTATATGTATTAAAAAAAAAAAATTATGTCTAATTTTAAAAAGAAATTTAAAAAGAAATTCTTTAAGAAAATTAATAAAAAAATCCGGATATTAAATGCAATATCAATTTATATTGACAATTTTGTCCAATTATACAAAACTAAGTATTTCAATAAATACTTGGAACAACTTCATATTTTTGTTAAAAAAATGTAGCACTACTTTTCCTAATTTTTGCATTACAACATCTGAAAAATTTGATCTTATCTATAACAAACAATAAGATTTTTTTTATAATTCCATTTTTAATGTTAGGAAAATTTTTATAAATGCTATTAGTCATAATTTGAAAATTTCATTTAATTTATGAAAATGAACTTTATACATTTTCCGAATATGCATACATATATAAAATTATATCATATTATATTGAATATATTAATAAATTGTAATTTTTATACTGGCGCACTTTAAAAATAATAGCTTTATGATTATAATTAATTTGTTACAAAAATGTTTAATAATATTATTAAAATTTAATTAATACTTGCTCAAGATCAGTGGTTACAAATAAAATCTGTATTAAACAAGAACTAATTACTGTTTAGTATTAATTTTAATGAAATAAATCTAATTTATATTAATCCTATAATGATATTATCATTCTTTGAATACTATCATTGATTACAAAATTTTTTTCAAATATAAATTCAAAAATTAACTCCTTCATAATTAAATTTTAAATAATTTTTTATTATTATCATTAAATAGTTGAAATTATATTAAAAAATAATACGTAAAACTCACAAAATATTTAAATAATTTTTTGCTTATTTTTTTTTTTCAGTTTTCATTAACAACGTGTTAATTATTATAAAATGAAACTTTTTTTTATACCTTTATAACTATTTTTAAATAATAAAATTTTAATAGTTTTATTAATTGTGTAATAATATATTTTTATCATAAAATTATGGATAACTACTCTGTTTGCTTGACAATATCATACTAAACAATATAGAATCTTTATAGTACTATTAAAGAGAAGAACTGAAGATAACTGAAGCTAGAATTAAAAACAAAAAAGAAATATTAATACTGCAAAATTATCTAAAAAATGTTTGTTTGTCAATTAAATAATAAAAGTTGATTTTAAATTAATAAAACATAAAAAATAAATTCATTGAAGGGTTGTTTTTATATTATTATTTTTTTTTTCTTAAATATACACAAAGAAGCGAAATTTTTATAATTTTTTTTTTGTTTTTTGCTACTTATACATTTATTTTTATTGTTTTATATTTAAAGTCGCTGTGTTTTTAATTTTTCTAGGTGCTAAAACATATGTTTGTGCTTTTTTTGATTTTAATAATTGAAATTTTATTAATATTATTCTTTTAAGAATATTGTAGTATGCCGGCTTAATATATGATTGCAAAGAATAAGATTTAAGCATTCAAGCAAATTCAATATAAATGTAAATAAAATTATTATACTTTCTTTAAATACCTTTAAATTTTCATTTGTTTATTATTTCATATTATAAAAAATTTCATAAAGAATAAAGTTCATTACTTTCTTATTATTTTGAGGTAATGGAATAATTTTTTCATTCATGTCTACAATTAAATACAATTTAATAAATGATAAAATAGATTATACATGCACATATCTATGTTAAGAGAACCTTTGAAAATGGAAAAAAAGTTAGAGAAATTAATTATTTCAATCTGAAATCCTGGTTAATATTCATTAGATATAATAATAAATATGGTACCCAATAAATCTCTGATGTTGTTATATACTGTTAATGTTAATATCCTTATCGTACCCCACAACATATGAAATAAATTAAATAGGTACATTAAAATATTTTTTTAAATTTGTTTTTTAGTTTAGTTCGAATAGCATAGGCATAATGTAAATGCCCATCATATTATTATGTGTTGGAAAAATGATTCCTTACATAATATGTAGGTACCTACTCAATAATAATTAATTTAATTTTAAATTAAATTTTAAATAGTAACATATTACATATTATGTAATCCTTTTTATATACTACCTATTTTATATAGTTTATTTCGGCAAATAATCTATTTAGTAAATGCGTGTTGCACAAAAATATTAAACAAATATTTATAATAAATAAGTACTTACACTAATAGGTAATAATTTTATATATATATATTTACATTACTGTATTGTAAATATCCAATTATTGTATAAAATTAAGAGTCAAAGTGTTTTAGAATTTAAGTAGTTCTATTGTATCATATTATATTGTCTATAAACTTCAATTTTTATTTCAATTGTATAAATGAATAAAACTAAATTCAATATTTATATTTTGTAAAGATAAGATATAAATAGTTAAGAAAAATTTTCAGAAGTATTTTTTTTTTCTTCAGTTTTAATAATTTTAATAATAAGAGTTAAAAATTTTATATAATTCTGTATAAGGTATTTTAATATTAACAAAAGATTTTTAGTCGAAAATATGAAATTTGTGCCTATCTACTTACTTTTTCTTTGGATTTCCATTACTTGAATTCGAGGATTAGTTATTTTTCACAGACTAGTATAATTTAATTACTCAATATCTTATATATTATAGCCGACAAAAGTTCGTTTTCCAATACATTTATGAACGTATTAATCTCTATTCTGATTAGTGTACCAATCCAAGCTCATTTTATACATGTATTTTTCCATGCGCCAGTAGTGAGTATGTAGCCTTTTAAATATGTGACTTATTCCTTGCCGAATAGCTGGAATCTGTTGGTCATAATAGAATCAATTCAACCATTGTATATTTAATAAAAAGATCTAACTTTGGACGATATTTGACTATTAACTTTCCAAACACTTTCGTCGCCATTTTTTTTTCAATTTATAATGCAAAAGATCTGCAATAGAAATTATAGAATTAATATTTATGTATATGTACATATTAACATCATACTTATGTTCATAAAATACAAAAATTTATTTGGAAATTAAATAAAAGAACACTGTTTATTACTCGAAAAATAGAAACGGTTTGAGGTAATTGAACAACTCAAAAAACGAAGTACCGTTATTTCATTAGAGAATTCCTTGTGTAATCATTGTATTGTCATTTTATCATTGTTTTTTCAGTAGTTTGGAAAATAAAATAAATTTTTTACATAAATTTTATTTATAATATTGAAGCCATTAACATAATTTTAAAATTTTATTTAATGAATTTTTCTGCCAATATTAAAAATTATTGCACGACTATAATTATATTTTGTTAATCTATTTTTTCTGATCTTCTGCTTGAACTTCTTTTATTCGATCTGTTATTTATTGACTTTCTTTCACAACAACACTAATACTCAAACTTTTTTTTGGCTTAATGTTATCTAAAAAATTAAAAAAGACAACGTAAATGTTAAAAAATTTTTTTTCACATTTTAAATTTAAAACAAAAACATAACTTAAAAAAAAATTTAAAATAATATGTAATTATCCTTTATAATTCTCCATTATCCTGTCAACGGTTCAATTATTTAATAGATTTATCGAAGCCGAAACTGTTCCCAAAAACTTCGAACAAATTTTTGAAAATAACTGTTTTTATAATCCGCAACTGTAGTCAGCACTATTTTGACAATTTTTTACCATTTGTTTTGACAGCTTTTGACATTTATTTGTTTTTGTACAAAATTGTCACAATGGGAATATGAAAAAACTAAACATAAAATGGAAGGTAAAAAATGTAAATAATGTTTTAATTTTAAAATTATAAGAAAATTTTTAAGAAATCATTTCAGTTGGTCTAGCAAAACATCAACTCCAATCCTTCGGAAAGTTTTTCGAAGATTACTCTCTTGAATTAAATTCAATAACTAGCAAATTTAAAAGCCAGAGTAATGAACGAAATGAACTTTACTTCACCCAACTTACTAAATCATCCAAAAACCCTATTGTGGTTAATTTTCAAACTGGAAAGGTGGAGAATATAAATCAATTTAAATTGATAGATTCTGATAATAAAATTTTCAATAAAGTGGTGCTTACTTTTCATAGTCTTTACAATAATCTTGAAGAATTTAATTTAAAAAGTGAAGAATTCCAAGCGGATTTCCTTAGGTTGGATATTGAATTAGAATCTTGTCAAAATTCAAAAATCTATGAAGACATTGGTCTAGAACAAATAGTGGAGCTGGAGAAAAATAAATTAGCTTCAAACTCTGAAGAAGTTTTGATTAAAATAAGTGAGTCCATGGAATTTCTCTGTAATATGCAATTTTTCATTAATTCTGGCACGCAAAGCGCTATTAATTTGTTACAACAATTAGTAAATTTTCATAGCTTTGATAAAAACTATTTCGGGCTTGGAACGCAACATAATGTAAGAATAACTGTAGGTTAATATTAATTCAGACCTTTTAATTTATTTTTATTTTAGGAAATTCTTTCAGTTATTGAACTTTTTATGATTAATCTAGTTAAATTTGATGCAATTTTACTAAAATCAAATTTTCATTTATATTGGGCCCCATACAAGAAAACTATTATTCAAAAATTTCAACAACAGAATGATTCTTGTTCTGAAAGAGAAAAAGTTGGGTTGGTTAGGATTTTGAACGAGTTAGAGTTGTTCTTAGGAGGTTTTGTATTTCAGGTAAGATCAAAAATATTGTATAAATGATTAAAAATATTGTTTTTTTCTAGTCGTTTTTAGAAAATGTGTACGCGATAAAAGATAATAAGAATATAAGTCGATTATATTCTCTTACAAATAATTTTAATGAATATATAAAAGATGCACTACAACAAATCAAAAAGTATCCAGCTGAAATTTGTGATGAAAGTGAAACTATAAAATTGATAGGAGTTAACATATTTATTGTACTTCAACATCGATTTTTTGGTCAAGTTGAACAAAAAATTTTTAAGCAGCTTTTGCAAATTAATTTAAAATTTATTGGTGTTAATTTAATCAGTAAATATATTTGGTACCCAGAAAAGTTTTTACAAGAACATGCTGAAACTCTGCTTAGTGGACATCCAAAGTACATTCAGGAGCAAATCCGAACAAGGGAGACATATTTGCAAAAAAAAGTCGAGCAATTACCTAAAATTGTAAAAAAGTATTGCATAGAAACGACAATGTGGATAATGAAAAGCAAAACATCAATTTCAAGTGGATACAATTTGAAAATTGGGCAGTTTAAACAATTGTGTATCCTTTTTCTTCAAGGTGCGCAGTATGCTGGACAAATGAATCATATATGCAAATTAGTTTTGAATTTACATGAACAGCTTGCCATACCCATGAGCAAACAAACCGTTACTTTATCATGTAAATTACTAACTTTGATAAAATTAATTCAAATCCAGCTTTCTGCAGATGTTGAACACATATCTAAAATAATCAAATCTGTTATAGATTGTTTACAGTATAAGTGCCTTCTAATTATTATTTCAACTAAGGTAATTTTTATTTGTTTTAATCAAAAATAAATTAAGATCATATTTAATTTTCAGAAAAAATTATCCGCAAAAACTTTAAGTGATGAAATCGTAGATATATTTTCGGCTTTGAAAATAATTGAGAAAAGTTTAAATGGGCCGCCAACATCTCAAAGATTGTTTGTTGTTAACTTACTAATCCAATCAACCAATCTGCAAAGCTACATTTCTGTTGAAGATTTTGAAAAATTACAGAAAAGCTTGAGGCGTTTGAAATTTCTGGGCCGTTTCCAATCCAATTTGTCCAAAATATGTGACTTATCGTATACAGCTTGGATAAAGGCTCTTTTTGATAAACGAGTTACAGAGATTATTGACGATGAAACGATGCCGCATTTTATCAATGTTGTTTGCAACATTCCCAATGCCTGCAAAAAATATGAAGATGTAGATAATGGAAATTTAATTTTTGAAATTATGTGCAAACTGTGTGGACAAATTGAAACATTCCTTAGAATTGAGGCACATTCAGGATTACAGTTAAAGAGAATCAATCCATTTCATCAAGACCAAGGCAATGATAGTTTAAATGAGCCAATAATTGAAATAGGAAACTGTTTTGAAGACAATCGATCTATATTAAAGTTGAATGTGTTGAATTTAAACAACGCATTTATAAATTACAAATGTAAGTATTTAGCGTAAAAGTATTTTTGTTTTTAAATGAAAATAGCTTAAATCTAACATTTTTGTCTTGTACTTTATAAAGATAATGTTGAAAATTATTTAAGTAATATGTTTTATAACATTACAACAATTAATTTAAACGACTGGAAAGCATACGAAATTATGAGAAATTTAGCCAAGTATAAGCTTAACTTAGAACCAATAAGTGATTTATTGCCTAACCATTCATTGGAACAAGGGAAAGATGCATTAGAAATAATGCGAAATATCCACATTTTTGTTACAAAATATAATTACAACATGAATAATCAATATTTTGTTGAAAATTCCAGCAAAAATAAATATTTAAACACGATATGTATCAAACATGTTGCGAATTCTCTTCAAACCCATGGAAGTGGTTTCATAAATACAGCAGTAAATTTTTCTTATCAATTCCTGCGTTCCAAATTTTACACAATTTCACAGTTTTTATATGATGAGCAAATTCATTCTCGTTTATTAAAAGAACATCGTTATGTTGTGGAATCTAAATTAGAAAATTCAAATGAAGGAATTCCATTGCCACGGAACTACAAAGGTTTTACTTCAACATCCATTAACGATAGCAATTTTATCTACAAATACGAACGAGCTGAAGATTTGAATAAGGAAATAAGAGCTTTGGGAATGACTCCTGATGGATTTTATTATATGGATGTGTTCAGACAACTTATTACAGAAGTTGGTAAATCTATTTTTAGTACAGTGTTTTGAATCAAATTTGTATAAGTTATTATTATATAAGGTAATACAATGGGATACATTCGATTAATACGGGGCGGAAATATTCATGCTAAGTATATTGAAAGTATATACTTGCCAACAACTAAAGAAACTGCTTTTGAAAGTCTCTGTAACGAATGTGAGACATCTGAATTTTTAAAAAAAACTGGTGAAGTACTAGACGAAAATTTAAGAAATTATGCAGAAAAAGACGAAATGGATTTTTTCAAAGTACTTACACAACTTAAAATCACATGATAACTACTAAATATTATTTTTAATTTTGCAGCTATTATCAAATGCATTTAAACCGTTTTTCCGAAGTTCAAGTAATCAACATCTAAAAAAGTTTTTCTTAATTGTGCCAGCATTGCTAATCAATTATGTAGATCATATATTGAACGCACGTGAGAAAATCTCTAAAAGGGATAACGATGGTGCTATTACATTATTCAACGATGGATTCGCTATGGGGCTTGTTTGCATTTTAAAATTGTTAAACCAATTCAATCAATTCGAATCTTTGTATTGGTTCAAATCAGTTGAAAATAAATTTAAAGATGAACATCAAATAAAAATAAATGAGATGCAAACAGAAATGCGGAAAAATCAAAAAGACAACAGCCTACTACAAACATTAGCTCTAGTAGAAAAAAGAATGAATGCAAAATTCCGCGAATTTTCATTATTGCGAGATAGTATTTACAGTGCTAAAATTTTTTATCAATAAAATTTACCGAATAAAAAAATTGTGTATGATTTTCTAAATTTTTAACGCAATATTTTTACAAACAAGTTATTTTAAAAAGAAAATCCAATTTGAATTTGAAACATAATACTCTTTATAAAACTAGGTTTTCTTTAAATTTATTGAAGTAATTGTTTTACATTTTCAACTTTAAAATTTGTAAAAGGAAACTAATGATATTTTCATTTGTTTTTGTTTTCATTCTGCATGTAATCGTCTAAGCTCGTTGGACAGCTATTAAGAAAATATGTTTCCGTATGAAAACGAATAGTTATAAGTTTTTTTAGTATAATGAACTCCATCAAGTGGAAGATATTTCTTCCCATTTCTTTATAAACGAAACTATTAACTTTTCAAAGATATGTTACTAAACTAGAACGCATACACATTTATTTAGCATAATTTAAAATTCACGGATGCATAATAAACGATTTAAATTTTAAATATGTGAAGACAAACTCAACTTATTCTATAAAAAAAAAGACGGGGCCCCCCTTCTTACTATCATTTTATAGAAAACTGTAATAGATATATGGGATTAATAAACCCATTTAAAGGTCATTCTTAATCGGTTCGTTAGATCAAATGATGATTTATGTAAAGTTAGATACAACCTCATAATATCGCAAGCATACGTATATATGTACTTGAATTTTGAAAAACAATTACTAAACCTTTTAATAAAAAAAATACCACGCTTACTCTTATATACACTTGTATATTATATGTATGCAAGTATATTTGATAAATATTAATTAAAATTGCTATGATAAATATCAGTCTTACTGCAATTATTTGCAATTTTTTTATCATCTTCTTTCTCTCCTGACCATTATTTTTCCTAAAATTTTCATTTCGTACTTTTTATTTCAAATTATGTGTATACATATATAATTTTTCCACAGCAAAAATAAAAATTATCATAAAGATCTATAATTGAATTAAATCAAGCAATAAATTAATGATTTTTTATATAATATTTTCTTTAATTGATAGTACTCCATGTCAACAGTATTTGGGTGGGGGATGTTTTTTTAAATTTTCGCAAAATTTTTCAATAAAATAGTTTTTTTTTTATTTTATACAACATTAATTAAACTCTTTTTGATTTTGTAAATGTGATGTTATTCACTTACATACTTTATTCATCTTTATTGCATAAAAATGTTTAATTTTTATGCAATAAAGATGATGATGTATGCACTTGCATCAAACATTAGTGCTTAAGAGATTAAACGAACTGCCTTTTTTTATTAGAATTTACTTGCTATTAAGAATATTCAGTTTATAATAAAACGCTTATTCTAATAGGTAACTATTAAAAGATGAATTTAGAGAAATATTGACTTTATTTGAAGATTTATAATTTTTTTAAAACTTCTTTAGAATAAATTTACACACACGGCAAGTTATTTTTATGCACCCACCCGTTTCATTCCGCTATTGAATAAATATGCTTACGGATTTTAATTTAAAAACTTATCATTTTGACGTTATTCAGCAAGATCGTTTCAGTTCACTTTTGGAACCAGTAGTCTTCGATGGGCTGAAATAATATTTTTATTTGGTTCTCTTTCATATCTATCGGTTTTTAAATTTTTACTTTAAGTACAGTGAAACATTCTTTTTAACGGCATAAATAACAAAGTTAGAATTTAAAAAAATAAAATATATACATATTTTTTATTTCAAAATTATTTTAAATATTTTATTTCTGATTTACTATTTAGTTATCTTTTCTCCTGGAATAGGCGTTAAACGCTTCTAAACTTCATTATAACTCAAAGTGCAAAAAAGAAACACAAAAAAGAGATGTAATTAAATAAAATTTTACTGAATGTTTCGTTAGCAAATAAAACGAAGAAAAATTAAGCTAAGCAGATGGACATAAATATGGGTATAAAATTAGTACATATTTTTTTCCAAGAATTAGCTAACATTAATTTAATAATAGTAATTAATAGCATAATTTGAATTATATTTTTTATTCGTAATTAAAATTATTAATTCGGTTCGGATTCCATTTTATTTAATTAATTTATTTAAAAATCGTATTATTTACTTCATTCAATTTAATTTTATTCAGTGATGCTACAATAAATATTTTTAAATATTTGTTATAAGATATTGTAAAAATTTATTTAATAAAATAAATTTTAATAATATGTTTTAGAGTTAAGGAAAGTTTTATTATATTTTAACAAAAAGTAATTCACGTATATAATACAATATATAATATACGAATGAATTTTGAAATAATATTTTTATATTAAGTAATAATTAAGGAATAATTACAATTCGTATAAACATACGAAAATTTTATATTGTATTTTTTTGAATGAATCATGCATACAATGCAGTTACATACAATATATAGTTAGCCTAAATGTATTCATGATATAGCTTCAAAGTTAAAATATTTATTTGAAATAAATTTTGTGTGCTCTACATAATATATAAAAATTATTTTATAAAATCTTTGGAGCACCTACAAAAACTACCGATCTTGTAAAAATGGACTATTTAATAAAAAAACGCATTAGGCATAAAATTGTACAAAACTTTCATTTATAAATACGAAACATATGTGCCTTATTACACGGTACATTAGAAATTAAAAATATAATTTTTTTTCGCAGGACACACTGAACAAAAGTCATACGAAAAATCTACTCCTAAAAATGGAAGGACAAAGAAAAAAAAATTACAAAATAAGGAAAAAATATGGTTGTTTTATTATTATAAATAATATTAGAAAAAAATATAATAATAAGGAAAATCTTATTAATAGAAATAAAAATATGAAAAGTAACATTTATATTAATAGCAAATATATTAATAACAATGGTAAAAATAATACAAATAAAAATTGTTCTAATAACGGAAATAGTTTTATATTTGAAAAGAGTAAAAAAGATTTTAACAAAACTAACCTTAGTAATAGTATATCTAGTGAAAATAATAAAAATGAAAATATGATTTACATTCAAAAAAATGAAAATTTAAAAGCAAATAATAATAATAATTATAATAACAGATATAATAATAGTGAAATTTCGAGCAAAAATATTAATAATAATAAAATGAATATTTACGAGAGAAATATAAAATCCAAAAAAAATAGAAATATATACGACAAAAGATTAAATTTTAATTATTTTAACACATATGAAAGTGGTAACAATAAGATTTATAAAAGTCATAACAAAAATATTAAAAACAATGCAAATATTAACCGTAATCAAAATTTCCATAAAAATATAATTCAGAAATATAGTCTCAAATTTATGTACGTTTTGTTTGTATCTATAACGTTATTCAATAAAATTTCTGTAAAAGCAGTAAATGGTGAACATTTACAGCATGAAACAACACCTTTGTTATCATCATATTCTGTTATTAAAAATATATCAGAAAGAAATAATTTTGAAGTTGTACAAATTAACACACACCATCAGGATTTCAATAATAAAACAACAAAACAATATAGTAAGTTTTACTATTTATTTAAAAAACAAGGCAATTCTACTTTTAAAAGTCATATAAAAATTATTATAAATTTCACAATTTAATGTTCTTGACTTGAAAAAGAAAGAGTGGACATTGTTAAGCAACATTTTAAAAATATTTTTGCAACAGATCCACCTTATCACAGAAATTAATCAATTAATTCAATTTACAATTCAATTCAAAAATATAATTTTAATTTAGATTCGACTATCATCAAATCATCTCTGCTTTTATCTTCATCTGCATTATCATTGCTATCAACTGAAGAAGCTTCGGGAATGATTTTAACTGAAGAATTAACAGAAATTAAAATTTCGAAAAATGAAATAACTACAAAATCACCGGCCTTACAGCATTATTTTACTTCGAAAACATCAATTTCACCTTCATCTTCAACTTCTGCCCCGTTATCATCTTTAACAGTAATTGAAACGACTCCACCATCAAGATTATCAGTTGCGACGGATACATCAATTGCAACCGAACATACAACAAATGATAATAATAACGTTAACGGTTGTTATTCATGCCAAATGTTAGAACAAATTAAATTGGATAATATAGAATCAATAAAAAGGCATATTCTTCTCAGATTAAAACTAAAAGAAATACCGAAAGTTTCACCAGCATTTCGTTTATCAGTACCACCAGAAATAATTGAATCTTTTTATAAAGGTAAAAAACAGAATTTTCATATTATAATATGTAGATGTATATCGTATCGAACACTATTTGTTAAACTAGCACATATTTATAAAGTACAATTCACTATAAGGATTATATTTATTTCTGGTTTTGTATCTTTTGAAATTTGGGAGGTCGTCTTTTTAATCTTTATTTTTTTTTTCATATTCGAACTATGAATTTATTTCTTCATTTTGTTCTTTATTTGGTGGTCCTTGTTATTTTTAAAAGTTTTAAAACTGCAAAACTCATTAATGCAAAAACACAAAGTGGTGAATATGCAATATATTTTTGATTATTCTATAAAATCAAAGCACTTCATACGATTCATCTGCCCTTTTTCTCATACTAAAAATTATTTGCGTTTATTAGAAGGCCTCTTCTTTTGAACTTTTCTTATCAAGCTAAGCAAATTATTAATCACAAACTTTTTGAAACAGAATGTTAAAAAACAAAATTTTGTTTTTTATAGACTATAAAGTTGATGAAAGTAGCGATACAACGAAATCAGAAGGTTTTGATGATGAGAATGATATTTATGATGAATTTGAATTTGATAATGACGATTATGTTAGCGATGAACCAAATATCAAACATGAATTTTATTCAATTGTAAATAGTTTATATGTATTTCCAACCAGTAAGTATAAAAATCTCTTTCGCTTATTAAATTTTAAAAAAAATTCTGTATTTTACAATTTCAAAATAGAATTAACAACCCATCAACATCGCAAATCTGAAATTTTAAATTTTTCAATACAAAATAATGAAAGTTCAACTATCTCCCAAGCATTTCTATATATTTTCATAAGAGGAAAAGATTGGATACAGAGAAATGAACCAAATATTTTTCAAAATAGGTATAATAAAATAGGTAACGATAATAAGAACAGCATTAATAACAATAATAGAAATAATAAAAATGACAAAATCAATAATAATGACAATAGTAATAATAAAAAAAATATTTCAGCAAGCAATATTTATAATAATAATAACAACAATAATAATAGCAATAATAGTAATAGTAATAGTAATAATAAAAATGAACATAATACTGATAAAATTGGCAATAATAGCAATATAACTAATATTACTGGCAACGTATTCAATAATTACAAATATAACAGTAGTATAGTTGATGTTTATAACAACAAATATAAAATTATTAATTATAATTATACTGATACTAACAGCAGCGAAAAATATCATAATGATAATAATAATAACAATAATAGTAACAGTGATGAAAGAAGAATACATGTTAATGATGGCAATATTAACGAAAGTATGAGTAAAAATATTGAAAAATTTAAATACATTAATATTTTAAAATATAATATCACCAAGAACAATCTAACTAGTAATAATAATTATGAATCTGATGAAAATTATAATGTCTTGAATAATTTTAATAAGAGTAGGAATGGTATAAATATCACTGAAAATAATTTTAATAATACTAATAATAACGATAAACACAATTATAACTCGAATAATCAAAATGACGGTATTCAACGGACAAATTTAAATACTAGCAACAGTACTAACCTTTTTAATGGAAATCATACAGAAAAGGAGAATAATAACACCGTTAGTACAGATAACACTCATAATTGTAATGACAGAAATATTGAGAATAACAATAATAGTTTTAATAATAAAAGTAATAGTAACAATGATAATAACAATAAAAATAATAAAAGTAGTGACTATCATGGAACTAATCACTATTATAAAAATGGAAACAATATTTATTTTAATAACAGCAATATATACAGCCGAAATAGTAAGAAAAATAATTTTAAAAGCAATAAACATAATAACAATCATAATAATAACATTCATAATAATATTTACATTATATTAACAATAAATAAAGTAATATTACGTCAAAATTTTACTCATACTTTACAAGTTGCTAAAAAATATTGTAAAATACCTAACGGAGATGGGCAATGGTTCCGTGTGAATATCACCGAACTTGTACAAACCTGGGCAAGTGATCCAAGTTTAAATCAAGGTATTGTCATTAAAACATTGGATACATCATTGAAATCTTTAGTGGTAATTGACGATACTACAAATGATAAACGAAATGTAAGCATGATTTTTTATAAAATAGTAGTTAATAATTTATATACTATAATTCTTGAATTAGTTTAGGATATCTTTCAAGGTAACTGGCCGATTCAATAAAAGAATGGTTTAGCCTATTGATCGCATTGTCAATGCTACTAATATGAGTAATTTAAACTTATAACAATTATGAAATATTAGGGAAGCTTTCTTCTTGAAAAAATTTAAGAGAAAATGCACAAATAAATTTCAAAAGATTTTCAAAACTAGTTTATATACTTATTTACTGACATAATAATATGTACAATGGTATTCTAAAAAATATATGGAAAATTTAATATTTCGTACACTACATTATTAAATAATTAATTTATTAATAAAATTTACTGATAAACAAACTCAAAAATAATTAAATATTGCATATTGGGAGCATAGACAAAAAAAAAATTAACAATATTTTATAGTATTTACCTAAAATTCTTATTCATATTATATTTTTAGGGAGTTTATATAAAAATTCAAACAAAAAATAATCGACAACGCCGTTCGAAACGTAATACATCCCTGAACTGTTTGGAGACTGATAAAGAAGAACGTTGTTGCCGTTATCCATTGGAAATAAATTTTCAAAAATTTGGTTGGGATTGGATCATAGCACCGACAACATTTAGTGCATATTTTTGTAGTGGACAATGTAAATTAGGTTATATACAAAAATTTCCACATACACATCTAATGCAACTTAGTACAGCACCGCAACCATGTTGTTCACCATCAAAAATGAGCCCTATAAGATTATTATATTTTAATCATGATAATATATTAGTTATGAGCACAATACCAAATATGTCAATAGATCAATGCAATTGTTCATAACTAATATTTATAAGTTTATATATATAAATAATTATATTTAATTTTAAATCTTATAGTAAATATTATATTATAATGTAATGTAAAAATTTGGCCAGAACTCATAGTTGTAATACATGAATACGCGTATGTTATTATTGTACAAAAGTACTTATATATATATATATATATATACATATATATATATATATATATATATATTCCAATAATATGAGTATTTAAAAATACTAAAATCAGAAAACACAAAAAAAATGATAAAACATTAAAAAAAAAAAAAAAAAAGATAAAAGTGGAAACTATTTTTTAATTCTGCTAATTCACGCCAACAACATAACAATCTTCACAATTTCTTATTTAAAAATTTATGTATATGATAATTTAACTTTTATACATAATAAGCTATACGTAATTTAATTGTGATGAATTGAAATGGGCTGAATCATTAATAATTATATAAAATTATTCACTTTATTTAAACTAATTTATTATTGAAAGTTACGACACAATTTTCAAAATGCATTGAAATCCCATTAGATATCCAAACAATAGGATTTATAATAAATATTTTCCAGAAAAATTGTTAACCTTTTCTAATTTGGGAATGAAATGTATTTTATATAAATACTAATTAGTTAACTTTCTATAAGTAAAAATGTAATATTATTTATTTTAATTTTGAAACACTGGTAAAATTCATTTATGATTTATTATGGTAAAATTTTTTATTCGAAATATTTTATAACCCTTATTCATAAAGGAATCCATACTAATATTCGATAAAAATAACTTATATAATAAATTGTAAGTGAAAATCTTTTACTGGTTCTTTTAAAATTTATTTTTAATTAAAAAGATCTAAATTTTCCTTTTTGGAATTGTCCAAAGAAAAAATCAAAAGCAATCAAAAGAAGGACTTTTTTCAAAATTGATAATTTCGAGTTTTTTAAGCCGAAATAAATTTTATAAAATAAAAACAAAATTATTTTTCGGAACATATAATTTAGAATTTCAAATTTTTGTAATTTACAAGCCCTTGTAAGTAAACAGCTTATAAAAAGACTATAAGATTTTTTTTTAAATAAAACTATAGTTCTGTTTTAAAGAATGTTCTTCAAGTGGTAATATTTTTATTTCTTGTAAATGTAAAATTTGTAATTCTGAATTATACTGATCCCATTTATTAAAATTTATTTAAAAAAGAAAATTTTCTTAAGGAAGATCCTAGAGAAAAATCAAAGACTTAAATCTCTGGATTTAATTTTTATTGCAATTAAATAAACTTTATGTATGTACGAATATAGCAAATATGAAGTTTACTTGAGCATATTAATAAAATTTTATTATACCTAAGATAAGTCTAAAAAATATTTTATTAATAATTTAATAATTAAGTTCAAAAAATTAAAGTTTCATAATAGATTTTATGTTAAGATTGTAAACTCTATTAAATTATTGTATATTCAAAAATTCAATTCTAAATTTGCATTTTTCAAAGAAAATTCTTAAATTAAAATTAAATTTCAATTTAATTACATACTAAAAATTTAAAATCATATGATCTCACCGTAATTTTTTTTTTTAAATATGAATACACTTAAATTATTTAAAAATAATTATACAATTTGTCGTAACACTTTTAAATATTGAAATACAAAAATTTATTTACTTTCCTTTTAAAAAATATTAATATAATTTTCGAATTATCAATTTCAATAAAGAAAACTTAGTATAACGTTTAATGACTCGAAATTATTTAATTAAATACTTTGAAAGATGCAATTTTATTTAATATTAAAGAAAAAAGGCAGAATGCATTACATCTACATGAAATATGTATTTTATATCGATCTCTACGATGTACATATATGTGTATGTACATACAATATGTAAAAATCGATCTCTAATAATATTTTAAAAATTAAAAAAATGTACTGAACAAATATCTTCTCTTGATCTTATTTTGATTCAAAAAAAAAAAAAAACTAAAATCAACACTTACTATTATTTATTATTCATGTTATGTAAATGTGCCGACACTAATAAAAGAGTTACAATCTTTTAAAATTTCTAAAAACAAGAAAATATAAAAAAAAAATTAATTGTGTAAGAAAAGTGATATTTTGTAAAATTAATTAAACGAAATATAAATTTTATGCATTTCTTATTTGATTAATATTAATTGTTTTAATTGTTTAAATTATAATTTTCCAGGAATTTAACAATTTTTTAAAGAGTTTCCGATTTATGGGATATACCATAATTTAATGAATTAACACTAAAATGAATAGGTATGAATTTTAAATAAAAATTAAATTTTGTAATTTAAATAATTTAATATAATTTTTTTTTGATTTCATCAAATTAGGAAATTGGGAAAATAATTAAGGCGAAATTCCTGTTTTCTAATATTTGCTTTAGACAATCTTATTTATTTTTGCAAATCTATTGGAATAATTCTATATTTAACTTCTGTAATCGAATATTTCCTGATATAGAAATAGTTAGAGAATAGTTAATAATTTTTTATTATAAAGTTATGCTTTTTATTTCAAGCTTGATGAAGATTTAAATTTGATGGTGTGTTTTTCGAAGGTCAAACTTCAATAAGAAAAATTACTAAAGTAAATGCGGTGTTTGTGACTCAGTAGTTATATTATATCCGAGAAACTAATAATTCAAAGACTAATAATAAGAAAAATACATGTAATGTCCTATCTATGTATGTCGAAACATGAAAAATTATAACTATTAATAAGAGAAAATAAATTATTAATCGAAAATCAGTATTGCTGTAGCGTTCAGTATCTAAAGTGTTTTTATAAAAGATATTGTAAATTTTTAACGACCGCATTTCTTTTGTGTTTTGTAGTTTTGTGTACCGTTTTAATAAAACCGATTTCTGCTAAAGAAGTGTTTTTTGCCATACAAAAATTCTGTTTAGAAAAATTTGATGTGAGCATTTATTTTGATTATAAAATTCATATTCTTTACAAAGATCGAAATTCTGTGTATTTTAGAAAACCATACTTCGGGTATTTTGACTCACATTTTTACATGCATTTTAGTTTTGTTGAGTTAAATTTAATTTTTGATTAATTTTAGATTCTAAATTTTATTTATATAGTTTTTTTTTACCCCGATTAAATGGACCATGGTCCACCGGTTTACCTCAGGTCCAGTCAAAATTTCCCAGACACTTTCAAAGCTCTTCAAATTTCACTTTTTGCACTGAAAATTAATTTGCAACAAAAATTGTTTATCATAGAAGTCTCAAATTTTGCATTTGAAATGATAATAAAATAATCTATGACTGTGGCTCATGTCTGGATTAAAAAGATTTAAGATAATGGCGAAAACTGCAAAAACAAAACAGGTGGTCCACGATCACCGTACTTACTCTAATTATTTTCAAAACTTAAGTGTTATATTAAAATTTATACAAAGAATTTGTCTAATCATATAGACTTTTTAAATAAGTTTAAAATTTTAGAGTTTATTGTAATATTAAAGAATATCTATTGAAATACAATATTCATAATTTTGTGAAGGTTATAATTTTGGTTATTTTTAATCAAAAAAAAAAATAACTCAATTAAATACCTGTTTAAGTTCCTCAATTTTATATAGTTTTGATTTATATTACATACTATTAAAGATCTTATAAGAAAAATTTGTAATTTTTTTCTATAATCTTACAATACAAGTTCTCAAGTTTTTTTTTTTGATATTTTATAATATTTTCATATTATGTAGGTGCATATGATTAATATAAAATCAAATGTATAGATATTGATATATATTTAACTTTAAAATTTCATTTTATAAAATGTTTTTGTTCTTTGACCTCTTTTCATAATTATGTATATACAAGTATATATATATATATATATATATATATATGTATATATACGCAAGAAATTTTGTCTATGAGAGTTTTCTCCATTATTTTTAGATTGAGATTTAATATTTACACTAATATTAAAAAAAACTGAAAAAAAAAAATAAAAATGAAAAAATTGTTTTATACCTATCAGTTGTGAAAAAATAACATACATATACATAGTTGTGAACTTGGCCACAGCAGGGTTGCTACTTTCACTTTTCTATTTTCTATAATAAAATTTTTGGATACATATAATAGAATAATAATTGAGTATATGTAAACAGTTTGTCAATATAATTTTATTTGTTTATTTAATTTAATGAGAATTAATACAAATTAAAATTAACCTTTAATGCAATTGTTTATATTTAAAAACTAATTAATTTATTTATAAAAAAAAATTAAAGTTAAAAATAAAAGAAATTGAATAATACGCGATAATTAATTTTAGATTACATTTTAAGTATTAGATTAAAAAAATTTAAGGTTTTTTTTAATATTAAACGTCCACTGTAAAGTTTGTGGTGAATTCTCAAAAAAATTTTTTATAATTGTTAATTTATAACATTTATGACATTGTATATAAAATATGTAAAAGTTTATTTTCCATTAATAATTTTCTCATTTTTATATTATTTCAGAGTAAAATTCAAACGACTTGTTTACATATTCTTTTTCGAAAAGATGTGCACCCCCAATTCTCATTTTTATATAAATAAATAGAATAATAATAAACAAGAAAAAAGAATTTTAATTTAATCATTAATCTTATCAAGTATAAATAAATAAATTATGTGTATAAATCTATTATTATCTTTGAATGATGGATTACACCATTCAATCAAATCTGCAAAATATTTTTTTGTCAATATTATTTAATTATCAGAAGAGCTGCAAAATCTTTTTGTTTGCTGATTACTCCTATCTTAACTTTTCGTTTTTGTTTTTTTTTTTTTGTTTATATTCGTTGATTTAATATATAAATACGAGAATTTAAAAATTAAATAGTCATATAGTTATGCCAAGATTAGAATTAAATATGTTTTTTTTTATATTTTAATTTTTTTTTTTTTTTTTTTTTGATGAATATCATTTCAGTTTTTTTGCCAATACAAAAAATAAAAAGTATAAATAAATTGTATATACATATAGATATTATTAATGTGAGTTACCATTTGCAATGCCAAAAACTATTAAAAAAAAATAATAATATTAAACAAAATAAAATACGGAAATAAATTCAAGTTTTTATACTTATACGTTATAAGAATCTTCTATAAATTCTCTATAAAGAGAATGTGTATTTAAAATATACATACGTAATTATATAGAAAATATAATAATAAATTTAAAATTTTGATTTAAATCTTGTTAAACTTTTAATTTTAATTCTTTATTTCAATCATTTTTAATTTCATTTACTTGAATGAATCTTAAAATATATATAAATTGTTAATTTTGAAGAAGCCTTAAAGTAGGCAAAATTTTTTTCAAAATTCCTAATAATCTGCTAATTATGTTGACTAATTAGTTTTGTGTCGCAAAGTTGGGAAGACCAATTTTTATAAATAATTATTTTATTCTTTTTTGTTTTTTTTTTTTGTTTTTACTGTTTTATATTTTAACGTATCGGGTAAGTAAAATATCATTTTTAATTTTAATTTTAGTACTTGGACAAACTCGAAAGTCAAAAACAATTTTCTGTGTTTTCTGAAATTTTATAACATTTTTAAATTATATAGAAACAAAGACTAATAATAAGACAAAAGAAAAAAAAAACAAATCATAATAATCTTGTGTTGTACTAAGAGCAAAATTTGGAATATTTAAGAAAATAAAATATTAAAATTATATTAAATTGAGAATTATTTATTAATAATAGAAAAAAGAAAATATTATATCTGTTTATTTTTAATTTAAAAAATAAACATTATAAAATTTTAATATTATTATTTTGTATAACATTATTCAAAAAGTCTACACTTATTCAAAATGAGGTACGTACTTAATATTTAAAAAAAATTATAATTTATTTTTTTCTTTTAATCAATTTTTAAATAATTTACCGCATTATTGATGGATCTATTTATTGAAGTATTTAAAAAAATATATTTATAAGTTTATTATAAAACTGAGTTATGAAATATATATAAATTTATTTCTTGATAAATTTACAATGTACAAAATATTATTATTGTTGTGTAATATATTACCATCCTCCAAATTAAACAAAGTATAAATATATATTAATGTATACAGTATAATACAATGATCAAATACATCATCTTATTTAAATTTAGAGTAATTTTTACATATATTGTTCGTTCAATGTAAAAAACAAAAATACGAAGAGCTCTTATAATTATATATTAAATGTATACATATACATATTATGTGTAAAAATCAAAATAATCTTTTATACGTAGTATAATAAAGAAAAATTAAATTTTGTATTATGTAGGAAAATAGAGAAGATAGTGAAAGTTTTAAATTATTATACTTGTATAGATCGAGTATTATTACACATATATATATGTTCATGTTTACATAAATTTACTTTATCTTTTACTTTCATTAACTAGCTAAACGATACAATATGCATAATCGAATTTAAATTGTGCGCAAACCAAAAATTTAATTTTTAATAATATTCAGATGTGCTCTGTAAAAATTCTCAATATGAATTTGTGATCTTTATATTTTAATCAATTTAAAAATTTATATACTACTTAAATTTAAGCAAGTTCTATATTTAATGATGTTATTGTATTAAATATAACACAAAACAAAAAAAAACTTAAACAAGATATATGACTTTAAAAATAAATAGTAAAATTAATTCATTATTCCTTTTATTGAAAAAATTATTTGAAAGCAAATTGAAAATTTTATTCCTATTGTAATAGAATAAATGGGCTCCCCTACCATTAAATTTGTATTTACCGAAAATTATTTTAACGGTTTGGGAATCTTCTCTGCAAATAAGAATTAGATTAATTTTATAACATAATATATATTAAAAGTATACCACTTACCAGTTAGGAATCACTATACCTTAATTATAACATCTATACATATTGGATTCATGATTCAAATTAATAACAAACAAATTTGGAAAATAATATTCGCTCTACTGAAATAATAAATAATAAAAAAAATTAATAAATAATAAAAAAAAGTCTAATTATAAATTTGTGTTGGTAGTTTATTCTTTAGACTTACGTTTGACTTTGATCCTTAATGTATTTACGTGGAAAGTGATCTCTTAATTGAATCATTCATATGTGCGTTATTTTTACAAAATTCTTTACGTTATGTATCTTTTCAACTATTTTATCTTTGTTTACCTTTGGGTAAAAATTATAATTTCAATTTATTCTTAACACATTTTAAATCCAAATTACGTTATTAAAATTTGCAAAAAACTACAAATATTACCCAAAGTATATTACATTCTTTAATCTATGCAAATATATCTATTTTATTACAATTCAAAAAAAAAAAATTAATTGAGCGCTATTTGATTTACAATTTATTTATCTGTAAAATTTTATTTTCTTTGAACCATTTGACGTCAATGAAAACCTAATTCTTAAATATTTGAGAAAGTTCAAACAATTAATATATTGATTAAATTATGATGCCAAAATACTATTATATCAGATCAATTGAATATTATGCTAATATAATTTTACAAATATAATGTATGTACATATATATTCATGTGTACATACATGAAATTTTTCAAAGTAATTTTAAAAAAGCAACTTTTTTGATATAAAGGAATGGAAAAATTTGTAAAAATTTAAATTGTATTAAAGTATATATTATCTAGATTATTGTTTAGGAAATCGTAAAAAATTGAATTACTGCGTGGAAAATGGAAGGAAAAATGTTTTCCTTATATTTGCCTTAAAAACCCCTTATTAATTTTAAAAAGGGCACAAATTTTAAAGATATGTTAGTATTACTTTATGTTTATATCTTTATTTTTCACAATTTCTTAAGGCTTGCTTGCTGCGTAATTATATTTATCATATATGCGCTTTATAACTATAATTACATACTCTACAAAATGCAAGAAAAATTACAAATAAAAGAAAAGTGAAGAATTAAAGAGAATATTAATAATTTTCCAAAGGATCAAATACCTCAGCAAATTGAATGATATTGATATGAATTAAATTAATAAAAATGTACCTACGTAAATCGAACAATAAATTCAATTGAATTATTCATAAATATACAAATATAATATCTGCTTTATGTAAATATAGGTTGAGAAAAACAAAGAACGAATGATTCTTTTTTTTTTAATATACCTACATAAAACAGTGTTGAGAGTTAAAGCTTTCATTGTGATTTTCTGCGGAAAAATTAATTGAATTTTTTTTTTTTATTTTTTTATTCGGAATATGAAAATTAAATTTAATTCTGAGTTTGTTTAATTGAATATGATAATAATTCGATCAGTTCCTTTTAAAATTGTGCTCATATATATATAAATTGCAAGCATTCTATTGCAAATATCAAATTAATTGACAATTTATATACCATATTTTAAGCAAGCAAAGGTTAAATTTATCTGCATAAATTTTATTAATGCATAAAATCTTAATATATGAGTTTTTTGGGAGCTTGATTTTTTTGGTGGTTTACATTTAAAATAATTTAATTTTAAAATTTCCATAATTTTGACATACATGTATAATAGAAACTATGGTTAAAAATTAGAAACCTGAATGCATGTTTTTGTATAGATTTAATAATGAAAATAAGTTATTTGAAATACGTAGGTTCTTTAATAACGGTATATATTTTTAATAATAGTATATCTATCTTTTAAAATTTAGGTCTATTTTATTATATTCACTTATTTAATTTGATTTAAGAATTTGTGTGAATTTGATTTAGAATGTTTTTATTAATGAATTGTTTTTGATTGGATTGTACAAACTATACATTGGCTGATCGCACATTTAATAAAAAATTATTTGATAATTAATATTTTTTTTGAAAGAGGTCTTTAATTATACCTGGAGTAGTTTTAGTTAATTTTTATTTCTTAAAAACCGAAAAAATTTATTCCAAATTTTAAAGTTAATATTTTGAACTCTTAGAATTGGGACAAATTAAAATAATTTGTCCTAAAAATATTGAACTTTATAAATACAAAAAATAAACTCCAATATGTGTATATGCACATATATTTAACACTATATATAATTAAAAATTTGACGTGATTTAAGACATAATAATAATTTTACGTTATTTTCGTTGTATAGAATGCTTTCATTTTTTCTAATAATTTTTGGCACAATTGAAGCGTAAATTTTCTTTCAATAACATTTTCCAAATATTATGTATGAATACATGTGTATACATATAAATAAATGTCAGTCTACATGAAAGATAATGTGTATAAAATTTGCACGAATACATGTGTTTATTCACATCTATGAATATTAAAGAATATTAATCTGCGTAAATTGAAAATAACAAAAAATCGTGCAATGAAAAACAATTAACAGGAAAATATCACGTTTTTCATGCATGCTCTGTCCAAAATCAAGCAAGAAAAATAAAATATATATACATACATATATACACTAAACTAAATTAACAGATTTCTCTTAAATATATACATACATATCTTAAGATTATATACTATACATACATGCATATTCACATATCTTATTATTAATGCATATGTAGTTATGTATAATATTTAAATTTGCTTTTAACATATAATGATTTTATATTATGTTATAAACATTTAATTTATGGGATCATGGGAATTCGTAAATATGTGTGCATACGTATGCATTCATATTATTGAAAATTTTACTTACTAACTGTATATTTACTTAAACCTACAAATTCCAAGTAAAGCTATTTTATGTAATTAATCTAGCCTAATATATTCTGTATTATGATAAAAAACACGTTACATCCATTTTCACATACATTTTGATTTTTTGCCAGAATTTTAGTTGTCAAACAAAAAATTAATTTTTCAAACACAAAAAAATCATAAATCATCCTTTTTGGTCAACAAGAATCTTCACATAATTATGGTATCTACTTATATATGCACCTATATACATATATATATCTAATTTTCTAAGAGTTTAAGAAATGATTCGTTTTATAGCTCGTTATTTTTTTTATTTGTTTACGATATTGTTTACTTATTATTCATCTATGTTCGCAGCGTTACAAACACATGACTTTAAAATTCACAGTAGGGCAAAGGGTGTGTATAACAAAAAATATCAAAACGAATAGCCAAATACGAAATTAATCTGATAAAATTCTAATTTAAATTCTAATAATAAGAACGGAAAAGTAAAATCAATTCTTTATGTCCCACTTGTTAGGAGTTTAAAAAAGCCATACCCAAATTTTACATTTGAATTTAAAATTTTTTTATGTAAATATTAAAAGCTTACATACGTATGTATATATATGGTGCATATTATATACATACACATGTATATAGTTAATAATATAATATTTGATGATAAATTGCAATTGCAAATTCCTCTAACATTTCTGTTACAATTAATGTTTTAATACAATTATATCTTTTTTTTAAATATTTTCAGTGAATCAAAGGCAAAACCAAAATTAAAAAAATTAATTCATCAAGTTTCAATCGAATCACCGGCAGGTCTTACCAAAGATTGTGTACTTAATTTTTCAATACCAGTACCAGAAACACCACCAAAAGGAGCTCGTATTCAAATTATATGCGCTGGTGCATGTTATCAGCGTAATCGTTCATCATCGATAATATCAATATCATCGGTTTCATCAGATTTAAGTGATCATGGAAATTCACCATTATTACAACATCAACCCTCTATAACATCAATATCTGCATCGCCATATCATATATCTGGTTTTAGAGATGGTGCTTTATTTCCAGGTTTTGAAGTTGCTGGTACCATTGAATCTCTTGGCTGCGATGTATTAGATAATGAATATAATTTAAAAGTTGGTCAGCGTGTAGTTATATATCCCTTTGAAGAAATTCCTGATGGATATGCGGAATTAATAGCAGTTCCGTCTTTAAAATATGTGGTACAAATACCGGATACTTTACCAATTAGTGTTGCAGCAATGTTACCTAGTGGTGCATTATTAGCAATGAGTGCTGTAATAACAGCACAAGAAATAATTAAAAAATTATTATTAGAAAGAGGTAAAGATACGAAATGTAAAATATTAATTGTTGGTACCGGTGGATTAACATTATGGGCTTGCCGTATCGCACTTTATCATTTTGCAAATTCAGATTTAAAAGATTCTGTTCACATAACTGTTGCTAGTTTAAAAGATGAAGGTATCAAATTAGCACATGAAATAGGAAAGTAAGTTGTGAAAATGATTGTTTCATACTGAGAACTTAAAATATTAAAATAGTTATCACATTTGAAATTAATTTTAATTTCAGTACATTATAGTACTTAGCATATTATATACATTTTGAAATAAGAATTGTATATACATACATACATTTATTTATTTATTAAAAAATAATGTGCATATGTTTACTGTTCCTACGTTTCATTTTAGAAAAGGTAATGGTATGATTAGCAATAACAAATAAATTTTTAAAAATAACTTATAGCTTCCTCTTCAATTTAATATAACCGTCTATTACAGACGTTGCTACAATATTGACGAAATTTATTGAATTCTTTTTTTAAAGAAACTTTGTAGTTTGTATTATTCAAGGCGCGGAAAAAACCAAAAGAAAAAGTACTTTTCGTATTAAACTTATTAATAAAGCCTATTCAAACATTCAAAAATTTTTATTGTAAATTTTCAAATTTTTCAAAAATGGCTTGAAGTCTACTTTATGTTAATTTTTATTGTTCTCTTTCAAAGTAATGTATAAGAATCAACCCTAAATAAACTTTAGTTTTATTTATCATAAATAATCAATTTTAACCTTCAATTCAATTCTAGTGTCGATGTTGTTCAGTGGAGTGAAGATCTGTATGAAAATCAGTTGATTGAAAGAACAATAGATGCTTGTCATGGACCTGTTGATATAGTTATTGATTTTGGAGCAACATCACGCACATTGCGTCGATCTATGCGATGTCTACAAAAAGGCGGTACTGTACTTATAAACGATGAAATCGATGAAAGAATATCACCTAGATTTGAAAATCTCGTTCAAGAAAATAACATCAAAATAGTATCAATATCGAAAGGTACAATTGAGCAATTCCATGAACTCGTGAAATTAGTTGCTTCAAATAAGGTAAAATATTCATTATATTATATCACAATATGATTACTCACCTACTTTTTATCTTTTATATATAGATTACACCACCGCCATATACGGTGTTTCCTTTTGAGCAAGCCTCAGAAGTTGTACGAAAATTATGCAGCTCTCAGATACCAGGTCGAGCAATTTTACAATTTCACGATGTTGAATAAAATTTTGTTTTAAGTCATGTAAGAATTTCATATCCTCGACGCCATACGCAGAATATATATTGGACTGAGAAATTTTGTGTAGGTACATAATTATACTTATTTAATTAATGTGTATATTGTTAAAAAATATATTTAAATAAAGAATAAATTTAGCGTTTTATTTAAGAAAAAAACAAAAGTGGAACTCCACTATGCGAATTCGCATACTAAAAGTTGATTTTCCCACATTCTTTTAAAAATATAAGTGATTTCAACAAAAATTTGAAATTTGTAATTATAATCTTCTACTTACATACATACATTTATGTAGAAGAATTTTGCCTTGAAATGTGTGTCCCGTAGTGGTAATCCACAATTGTAACAAAAAAACAATTTCAACCTCGTTCAAAGTAGGAATTTATGATTCGCGCTAAGGCTAAACACTTATAAATATTCATGACTTCACTTTTTGTGAACCAATAACAGAATATTGTATTGTAGAGAAGGAAAAATTAAAACATAGTGATCTACAAATTCCGTGTTCTAATTTAATATAAAATTTACTGTTAACCTTATTTTCATTAAAATCTTTTTATAAATCGAACTGTTACTTGTTAAAGCATCGATTGGGAAAAATGTTGTGTAAATAGTATTCATTGCATTATACATTTTTATATAATTTTGTAGAATTTCCGGCTAATTCTCAATAAAAAAATTACTGTCATTAAACTTTCAACATTTTGTATAAAATTTTCAGTCAATATAAAATTCAGACCGCTGTCCCTAAATTTAACTGCAACTAATTTCAAATTTAACTGCAAATTTAGAACAAAAAAATTTTGTAGTAAATTTAGAACAATTTGTAAAATTATTTGGACTGCTGTCATTATACATTTTGTACTAAAAATACAAATTATCATATGTTTTTTGTTTATCAAATACCATTATAGGTACCCTTGAGTCTTGCTAAAGTAATTTTTAGTCAATCTCTTATTATAAAATAAATTTTACAAATTTTGGATCAATATGTTTTTTTCAAAAACAAAATTCGCAAATCGAATGCTTTCTACTCAAATAAAAGAAAAAAAGATTAAAATATCTTCAAATATTTCTATAAATTTTGTTCAATCTGGTGAAGGTCCGAAAAATATTTTGTGTATGCCTGGAGCACTTGGATCTGCTTGGACAGATTTCAAACCTCAATTAGAATTTTTACCAAAATTATTACCAGAACATAGAATTATAGCTTGGGATCCACCAGGGTATGGCAAATCTACACCTCCGAAAAAAAACTTTACGGTAAATTTCTTTAATAAAGATGCCGAATATGCTCACGAATTAATGCTAGAATTAAATTCGTCAAAATATTCTATTTTGGGATGGAGTGATGGTGGAGTTACAGCAATGATCTTAGCTGCGACACAAAATAAAATTGTTGAAAAACTAGTTATTTGGGGGGCTAATGCTTCTATTAATGACGAAGATATAAAACTTCTTGAAGGTATTTTTCTTATGGATTTTAAAAATATTTAATTCGGTATTTTTAAGCTATGCGAGATGTAAAAACTTGGTCCCCTCGTATGAGAGAAGCTATGGAAAAAGTCTATGGTGTTGAAGGTTTTCAAAAATTATGGACTGATTGGTTAAATACAATGTTATCCATTTATAATGAAAAAGGTGGAAATTTTTGTAAAGAGGAAGTTGAAAAAATTTCCTGTCCAACTCTAATTGTTCATGGGAAGAAAGACCCCATGATTTCAAAAGAACATGTCCCTTATTTGAAAAAGAAAATAGCTAATTGCAGGTACGTATGTAGCTCCAATTTAAAAAAAACTACTGACATTGAAAACGTCTTAGACAATTTTCTTTAATTTGACGTTCCTTAAAATTTGTCTTATTTACCTAGATTTCCATAATGTTTATTAAGAAAAACATATTCATATTTCGCACCTATACATATGTAACTCATTTCTTTCTATATTTACTTTTAGATACTACGAGTTTCCAGAAGGGAAACACAATATACATTTGCGGTATGCTGAAGAATTTAACAAACTAGTGTCTGAATTTTTAAGAAGTTAGTGCTCTTATTTTTTAAATTTAATTGTTTTATATGCACACATATACATACATATATTATATATTTACTCAGAGCAAACAATAGTATTGTTTTATTTTTTTTCATTCAAATATATAACTTTTTCCATAAATATTTTTATAGCTTTTTCATTCAAGTCTTCCTTCCAAAAATTATTCTTTTTAAAGTGAGAACCCACAATAACGCCTTGACATTTATTGTAATATTTTTCCACATTATATTCAGTGCATCCCGAACCTATTAAAATGGGAAGACCGCTTTGTTGTACATCATTTAGGTCATTGTCTTCAATTGGATGACCCGTTGAGTTCCCTGTAATTATTATTCCATCGGCTTGGAAAAACTCTGCTGCTTTCGCTGTTTCTAGTAAATTAATATCAGCTGTAATTGCATGTGAACTATGTTTTTTTTTTATATCAGCAAAAATTAAAACATTGTCCGCATCTATTTGTTTTCTATAACGTAATAAAGTTCCAGCACATGAATTAGTCCAACCTTCATCAGCTATATGGGAAAAAACAAAACCTTCGATTCTAACAAACTGTAAATTGGAAGCTTTGGCAACTGCCATAGCTTGATTATTAGCTGACGCTAAAATTTGAATTCCACATGGCATGGGAGAAACGATACGTTGAACATCTGCTGAAATACGTGTCATTGATGCTATTATCTCATATCCAACATTATCTCCTTGCAAATATGGAATGTCGTGCATATTTTCAATTAAAACTCCATCGACATTTAATTTTTTGTAAACATGAGCTTCATGTTTTGCTTTCTCTACTATATGGTTAAAATTTCCAGCATAATTAGGTGTTCCTAAAATTAATATTAGATTTCAAATTAAATTTTTATTTATTTCTATTTCGATTATATTTTTAATTTTTGTATGTATGTAATGTTAAAAATAGTCTAACATTTTTGTTGTATAAATCTTCAATTTGCTTAATAGTTAAAATGATACTTTACTTATCTTCTATGCATATTATTCTATGCATATAAGTCGTTGGCGCTATTTTAGAAATATAGTATATTTAGATGTAATACCACCCACTCTATTATATATCTAACAGATTACCTGGTAGTGCTTCCAAGTGAATCATTCCAATAACATTTAATTTTTTTTTAAAAACTTTGAAAAAGTTATTCATTATGAAAATTCGAAACTTACACTAAATAACAATATGCATATAATGGACAAAAACTAGTTTTAAAAATTTCGATAGAAGCACAGTAAATATTATAAACAGACCTGTTGATAATCACTATTTGTAAACAAATTAAAATTACGGTTTCATTCCTTATTCAATGTAATGTTATATACATAATCTAAATGATATCTCTTTTCTGCAAAAATTTGAAAACAGCTGAGAGTTGAGTTGCATGATTAAATTTACTTGAAAGAAATTTTGCGGAATATAAAATATGACGACGCAAGTGATTGAGTGTTTACATGAGCTACTAAACAAGAATATTGTTTCAATGGAAATTATTTTAAAGGAAATAACTGTTTCAATATGTCAAATTAATTTTTTCCAGGTGAAAACATCTATTAAAATTAGTAGAATGGATAATTAGAGTACTACTAAAATTTTTGTATATATTTTGCTACTTAATTTTGATTAGATATGTATTTTAAATAATAAATTTTAATTAATGTGTATTGATAATGATGTGGATGTTTATTATTTAAAATATATTATATATAATAAGTAACAATAAATATACACAAATATCATTGAAAAAACTAATGAAATTAATTTTAAAAGCTTTTAAAACCGTCAAAACATATTTTCTTCCTGAGGCTGTCAAAACATAATTCATACAAGTTTCATAAAGCGGTTACTGTCAAAACATATTTTCCTCTCGTTTGCGGAAGGTTTTACTTTTCAAAAAAACTTCTTTTCTTCAACAACAAATATTTTGTTCAAAACCTTTTTACTAAAAAAGTAAAATGCAATAAACAAAATGAATTTACAATTTTTTTTTTTAATTTCACACTTTAATAATCTAAAATAAAAATTTTTATTAGTTATGCAAGAACTAAAAAATTTTTTTTAAGTTTGATAAATATTTTAAAATTTGACATTTACAAAAAGTTTTTGAAATTTGTTTTCTGTCTTCTTATTTTTTGAAATGAGAATTCTTTTTCCTTTTTCCACAAACGACGTCACTGTTTTCTATTTTTAAAGTGTTTTCAACTTTTATTCCACATAGAACTTTGTCTGCTGTAACTATTAATAATAAACATTTTTTTTGTGTCATAATATTTTTATATAATTTATAAAAATATTCTACGTGGATAAAAATCAAAATTTGAGATTTATTTACTTTTGAACGTAGACATTTTAATTTCAATTTCTCAAGTAAACTTCCACTTTCTAATTGTATAGATTGCTCAGTTTGAAGAATACTGCTACATAAAAATAACATAACATACGTGAAGGAATATAACATGTTTGCTGAATATAACATATTAGTATAGCTGAAATATTGAAAACATTTTTAACAGTTAAACAATCTTTTCCAACAGCTGATTGTCAAAAAGGATGACAAAATAGAACCAAAATTATTCATTATTTAAAGAAAAATAATAGTTCGAAGCGATTGAGAAAAAAATATTTTCAATTTAATGTAAAATATTTAGAAAAAAAATTTAATCAAGCATTTTTAGTGTACTCAAAAATAATAAAAAAATTTTTTTTAAAAATTATTAGTTGCTTGTTTTGTGAAAATAATTACAAAGGTATTGGCAAGCTATTGCGTTCAAACAAAAAAAAAATATTTTGCTCTTAAATTAATAAAAAACTGGAGAGATTAAAAATATTTTAGATAAATTAAACATAATAATAAAAATTTTCATAACTGATTGATTTCTAATGCTCAGAGACTGTTTAAAACAAATTGCAAGAAAGTTAGTCGCTAACTAATTAAGTATGCTCCGGGAGCTGATCGCCTGGGTATTGAATACGTATCTAGGAAAATATTTGGAAGATTTTAATCCTCAACAACTTTCAGTTGCTTTACTTTCCGGTAAGTTGTACGAAATGACAAGAATTATTGTTTGTTGCTAAGTTAGGAATTGAATATTTATTTTTATGCCTAGTGAAAGTTATATAACTTTCTCTGTGAAAATATTTTGCATCACAATACAATTTATTTGTTTTCTTAGCTGTTTATTTTTTAAAGACGTAAATATGTGTTCTTTTATTGAAAAGATTATTGTGGCACAATATGTATGTGAACCATTATTAAAAATAAACATGAAAAAATGACTAGTGTTTGCTCAATATATTACTGTATGTTTACGTGTTTTTTTTTTATAGAAAATTTGATCAAAAACCTAAAATAGAAAAATTAAAATAAATAGAAATGTCAAAAAAAAAACATTTACGAATACAAGATTTTAAACGATAGAACTAATCTTACCCACTTAATTTTGTTCCTTAATTTTAGGGTAGATTGGTAGGTACGATTAAATAATTTTATTGTTATAACAATAAAATACTATATATAATACATATTTGTATAAACTCAGTGTAACCCCATATAAACAAAAAACTTATGTATATATGTTTGTATGCACATATAACAGTTTTTATTTAAATGTTAAATATAAACATAAACAAAACATTGCAAAAGCCGGTACGTTATGAAGGTTTAATGAACTTTTGAAATGCGATGATCCTCTTTTCGCTCGATAATTTGTTTATTGGCTATGTTGTTTACACATATTACATAAATATGGTGAAGTAGGTTATTTTATTTATACATTTTTCAAGCATTTCTTACGTACATATTATGCTTAGGTTTACTTACATATTATGTTTAGGTATTAAAATTTTGAAGGTATTATGAAATTACGTTACGTATTACTTTATATTAGTGACAAATGTGTAATTTTTAAATAGATTTAAGAATGTATATTAAAAAAAAATATGCTCATATAATTATAATTTGAAATTGCAGGCGAAGTTGAATTAGAGAATGTTCCATTACGAAAGAATGCTTTTAATGGTTTGGGTCTACCTCTACAAATTTTAAGTGGATGTGTAGGCAAAATTAAGCTTCAGGTGCCAGTGCGCGCGTTTCGCTCAGCACCTTGGTGCATAATAATAGAACGTCTTTATATTGTTATTGGACCAAAAAATTTAGAAGATTGGGATGATGAAAAAGAAAAAAAATATGATTTGGAATATAAATTATCAAGATTAGATGATGTCGAAGCAAAATTCCGTGCACAAAAAGAAATAAATTTAGAAAATAATTATTATGCTTCATCGTACTCAGGATGGCTTAGTTATGGTAGTGGCTTAGCTACAAATATTATTGAAAATTTACAATTAAAAATTAAAGATGTTCATATACGTTATGAAGATTCAATATCTATACCAAATTTTCGTTTTGCATGCGGTGTAACGATAAATTCACTAACTGCACAAAGTTGTGACTCAAATTGGAATCCAGGTTTTAATTCATCTTGGAGTCAAAATTTAGCATCATTTAAATTAGTTGAACTACAATCATTTGCATTTTATTGGGATCGTTTAACAAATGATACTACATTTGGTGACTGTGAAGCTGATGACCTATCGGTAAAATGAATTTTATACAATTTTCAATAATATTTTGCAAAATTATGAAAATCTTTTATTATTCTATATTTCAGATAGCCGTGCAGATAGCAAGCCAAGACAAAACACATCGGTATATAATTCAGCCCATAAGCGCCAAAGCCCACTTTAAGCAAGATAGAAGCGAAACACCATTAAGAACAAGAAACAGACCTAGATTGTCTTGTGAAGTTACAGTTAATCAAATACATTTATCATTGACTGATGTAAGAAAAATAACAGATATTTTAAATAGAGGCGATTTGATATTTTTTAATTTTAGTTTCAATATTCACAAATAATAGAAAGTTTTCGAGGACTGAATGTTATAAGCAGGCTTCATACATATCGTATCTTAAGACCATCGTGTTCAGTCAAAGATAATCCAAAAAAATGGTGGCACTACGCAGTTAAGTGTCACGGATATGAATTTGAAAGTTTTGAGAAAAAAATAAAGAAATGTGGGGAAAATATACGTTACATAAAAATTTACACGAGGATCGTTGCCAACCCAAATGAAAATCTTTCTGCAGAAGATAAAGAATTCAAAACTGAAGTAGAAAAGTGTCGTAAATTAGAAGAGCTAAAGCAGTTGCGTGAAATATGCTTTTTTAAATTAACTTTAGAAAATGACGTACAAACAGCAAGTAAACAAAGTAGTATGCTGTTTCAATGGTTTCCAATGTGGTGGGGCTGGTATGGGTCTAGCGCAACTAATGGAAATTTAACAGCAACGTCACCAACAGATTTGGTAAATGAAAATGGTTCAACGAATGAAGAAAACGACATAGAAGATGATATTTTAAACGCTTTAGAGGAAAACAACCCAATTGATGGAAACTCATTATTAAAAAGGGATGCTGTTTTTGGTAAATTTAATTTCGTACTAATTAGTGGCCAATTGAATATATGTAGCGAAGACATACAAAGCACAAATTATGTAACAATGATGGAAATGAATTTTGACAATCTACGTTTAGATTTTGAAACACGACCAAGATCAAACTCACATTTGGTTGAACTATCAATGGGCTCGGTTTGCGTTCGTGATTTATTAACAAAAGACTCAGTATTCCCAGAATTGATAAAGCCTCAAAATAAAGAGGATCACATGCCGACATTTGCACGTTATCAATCTCAAAAAACTGCTTCCAACATTAAAAAAGAACAATCAAGTTCAACTTTAAATAACGAGAATGGCGAGGAACCATGGTTTCAATTGCAATACGAGCGTAAACCATTAGTATACAATACTGATTACAGATTGGCTGTTAAAACTAAATCGTTAGATATAGTTTACAACGTGGAAGCAGTAAAATGGCTTACAGAATTCTTTATGAATCCGCTGCAAGTTGCAAATGCAAAACAAAAATTAGAACAAATAAAATATAGTACCAAAATGAAACTAATAAAAAATTGGAAGAGTATGCTAGAAGGCGATTTGGTAAATATAATAAAATTGAATTCTTATTTGCAAAATATAATAATATTTTTTCTCTCTTTCTTTTTTTGCAGGGTCAAAGAAAATTTTGGTCATTAGAAATAGATATTGCAGCACCACAGATTTTGTTCATTGAAAATTTCTGTAATAGAAACACCACAATTGTGATAGTGGATTTTGGTCATTTTAAACTGTTGAAAAATGCTACAAAAGACAAAATTCGCCAATCAAAAAAAATAAAAAATGGTCAAAATGGTGATGTTATAACATCACCTGGTTCAACTTGCAAATACGACCAACGAGAAAGTGAAGAAGAGGATGCTTTTATGACCCCATGCTCAACTCCCCCTGGTTCCGAGAAAACAGGTTCTGACTCTCCAACCGTATGTTCAAACATTGATATAAATCCTGAAGTTGTACTAAATGAAAACACGGGACTAGAAAACGCTTTTCATGATAAAATATATGATAAATACATAATTGATTTGACAGATTTGCAAGTTTTAGTTTGTAAAAGTAAAGAAAGATGGAATTTTGCTAGTTCCAAGGGTTCTTCTGCGTTACATATTTTAGACCGTTTCAGTATTGCCTTACAGTTGGAACGCCGTGTTATAAATACAATTGATCCGGAATATCCTTCACTAACATTATTCGGAACTCTTCCTAAACTTGTGGCACACGTTAGCGAGCAAAAAATATTAGCTTTAACAGACATTTTAAACATAATAAATTATGAATCAAACAATGTATTGACAACACAAAAATCAATAGATTTTATGACAGAAAAGACGACCGATGAAATTTTAATGGATAACGTCGATGAAAGCATTGAAGACGAAAATCAGAAAAGTCTCCAAGAGCAATTGAGTTTGATTGTCATACAATTTGTTATTGATCAATTATCTTTGGAAGTACAGTCAAGAGGAAGAAGTGTAGCGGAATTACAAGTAACAGGTGTTCGCGCAGCTTTAAGCAAATTAGGCGAAAAAGAAATAAATTTATCATTGTCTGTCCACGGTTTACTTTTGGTTGATGCTATACAATCTTTTGGTCAAGATTTCGAGCTTTTAATTGCAAGCCATCGTCATGTTGGGTAAAAGTCAATCTATTTTTACATTAGATTTGATTCTTTAAATAATTGTAATTAAATTCATAGTATGGACAGTGTATCCGGCAGCTTAAAACAAAGTGAGCCATGTTCTCCTACGTCTCCTGGATCTCCAGACCCACTAATGGATAGAAGACCAACTAGTCCTCAAGCAATTACAAAGGCTATAAGCACATTGCAAAGAGGTAATTTTAAAATTTATTTTGTCACCTTTAATTGTGTAATTGTCAAATGTGTTTTATTTTAAACATAAAGAAAAATTTAAAAAAATTTTTTCTTTCTGACTAAGAAATGTTTTCTTTTATTTCATGATTTTAATTTTTGCACCATGGACCATTATTTTGTAACATCAAAACACCTTATTTAAATTATGGTTTTATCCTTACTTAATAATATCATTAAACTGTTTTTATTTGGTATATGCTTGATTTTTTTTATTGGTTTAAAAACTTTTGATATATTGACTAAAATCTAAATAGATAATTCTGCTTCTTGGTCTCACATTGATGATTTAGATGCACTTATTACAATGGAAATAAATTTTATACAACCGGACCTTAAAAACTCGGAGCAACTAAGAATCGCTAATATTAATTTTAATAATTTAGATATTATAGGTAAGTTTAAACGCATTTCTCAGAATATGAATTTTAAATGAATATAATACAAATGAATAATATTTATATTACAAATAAATACAATTTTTAAGCAAATCAAGAAACTATTGTTGAACTGTTGGGATTCATTAATCGAGTTTTTCCATCTAAGAAGCATAAGTCTAACAATCAAACTCCTCATAAAATACCAAAACTTGAAACTATTCAAAAACAAGATACTCTTACTTCTGGAAACGCGGGATCGATAACTAATGAAATAATTCGCACGGAAATAACATTTGATTTCAATCGTTTAAACGTTCTTGTTGTCAGAGCTTTAATGAGAGATTCCTTTTTGGTTGGACGTAAAGTCGGGACCTTTACACTAAGCGAAGCAAAAATACACGCAATATTTTCATCTGGGTCACAAGTTTCAGTTGAAGGATCTTTGGGTGGACTTCAAATTTTAGATCTAACGCCAGAAGGTATAAATCATCAACGCATAGTATCCGTAGGTAAGGACCCATTAACAGAACCACCACCAGGTCTTTCAAATCAAGATTTATTAAGCTCTTTGACGCAAGAAATCTATGGCAACTCCAATCATAGTAATAATTCAAAAGAAAAATTAAGAACTCAACTTCAAGCATTGTCATTTAAAATAACACGTGATATTACTGCCACAGTGAACATACAAATTCGAATGGCATCAGTTTGGTATACACACTGTGCAAGATTTGTTCAAGAGCTTAACTGGTGTGCTACAGAGTTTAAGCATTATTTAAAGATTTTTGCAAAATCAATTCGCGAAAAAGCTACTGATATGGCATATGGATTAGTTCAACCTATAAACAACTTTGATGAAAATGTGCCATATAATCAGCCAACTGAAAGTATTATAACTGAACATGAAAAAATGTTCTCACGTAAAATTGATAGCCCTAGAAAAATAAAAAATAATAAAAATTTTAAAAAAGTTACAATTAAGTTAGATATCTTGCTTGATACACCAGTTTTAGTAGTTCCACGTTCTAGCTGCAGCGCTCAGGTTTTAGTTGCACATTTGGGAAAAATAATTGTCAGTAATTACCAACAGGACGTTAATATTGCCTCTACTCCATGCTTTAGCAATCTAAACAAATCATTTGATGAAACAGAAATTTTTACTATTGATGAAGATGATATAGCAATGAATCATCGTTCTAGTGAATTTCTAGATTACGCCAACGTTAAAACAACAAAAGAATTTTATATGATTGATGTCAAAAATGTTAACCTATTCTCTTTAGATACATCTAAGCGCAAGGGATTTCGTCTTTCAGCTTTACCAAGAGCAGAAGAATTTTATTCTTGCCAATCGGACGCTGTAGCCATTTTACATGATACTGCAATACGTTTAGAAATCACTAAATACACGAATGGAAATGACATTCTTAATACTTCTACTAAACCTGAGAACAATAATATATTCGTTGAAGCAAGTGTTACCCAAACTCTACAAATATCACTGTCGCGAAAACAATACGAACAAGTTCTTGAAACAATTGAGAATTTGTTTAAAATTCCTTCAGATTTGGTACGTCCTCCACCAGATGTATCATCATCTAGAAGTGATCATATTGCGCTAAATACCACTTTAGATAATTCATCCTCGCCTTTTGAATTAGAAACTCAAAGGCTTAGTCAAAATTTTTCGTTTGTTAAATCGGCTGAAAAAGTTAATGATTCCGTTATACTTCCAAGAATATCGTTCACTTTACCAATTTTTGTTATACGTTTAAAAAATGAGCATGAAAATCCACTAATTGATATAGTGTTTCGTGAATTTTCAGTGCAGTATCAAAAAATTACTGAATATGAAACTAGTTTAGAAGTATCATTACGTTCAATACTGATGGAGGATTTGTTATGTCCTATCGACTCCAAATATCGTCAAATGGTAAAATCATCTAGAGAATGTAGTCCACAAAATTCTGAAGTGTGTGGGTTTGGAGCTGGTCTTTCGTGCTCTTGTCCTGATTTAGCTAAACTGCAAATAGTGGACAACACTTCAATAACTGGATCTTTACCCGATAATTTAGAAATACAAGCAGGTTTTGCAAACACAAAAAAATATGTTTCTAACCGAAACGTACATCAACCACAACAGCAACAAAGGCGTCCAAGTAAATTGAATGTGCAACCATTTGCTAGTTTATGTCCAGAGACACCACCGCCTTCTCCACAACCAAAAGGAATGGAGGATAACTTAGTGATATATTCGTCATTTATAGTAGACCCCAATTGTACAGAATTTCAAACCCGTTATAAATCAATGGCTCAAACTAGTTCAATTGATTTTAATAGTCTAGGTCTAGTAATATGTGTAGAAAGATGGTTTTTACTTCTAGATTTTTTTGGATTGTTTTCGGAAGACGAGAATGAAGTTTATAAAAATGAAGAGGAGGATGAGCGACCTGTTGTCAAAGGTCTATTTTCAAAATTACATAATTAAGACATAATTATAATTCAAAATTAATTATATTTTCAGAAATCTCAAAAGGCAATTCCGAGCTTGAAATTACCGTTCGTTCGTTAAATTTAACTTTAGTTAGAAATGATGAAGATTTAGCAAAAGCTAATGTTTCGAATGCGTTTTTTGTTGTTTCAAAGTCTAATCATAACAAAATTGTAGAAGGAAGACTAGGATCAGTTTCTTTATACGACTTAACACCATTTGGGAAAGTTTATAGGGAAAGGTTTCTCACAAGTGGCTCAGAAGCTTTAAATTTCATTTATAAACGGTATATTCCTACTTAAATTAAATAATTTCAAAGATTTTTTGTAATTGCAGAATGTTATATTTATTTCTAAATGTTTCTTAATATTTTTTTTATTTTTATATAAAATTAATATAAATTTTGTTAAACTATTTTCACATTTTTAACAGTCATGGAGAAAAGCATAATCAGAGAACTTTGAATAAAGACGCTAGACTAAATATTACAATGTCTTCAGTTCGTTATGTCCACACAAAACGTTTTATAATGGAAATCCAAGAATTCATTAAAGAATTTTTACAGTTACAAACAGTAAATTCAGATTTATTTTAGTTAAGTTATTCATTAAAAAAATAATTTTTTTTCAGACTGTTATGAAAAAAATCAAATCAACAGAAACGAGGTTATCATTACATCATCAACGCCCAACACAACTCGGCTTGGAAATAAATGCTGGTTCCCCTATAATAATACTTCCGTTAAGTTTTGATTCCAACCAGTTAATTGTTGCCGATCTGGGTGAGTTTTCACTAAAAAATAGTTTCCGGCTTTCTAGTGAAAAAGATATAATTACCAAAAAAAGTGACATAAATGCACCGCACGATGAAATACTAGACGTTATGCAAGTTGATTTATTGAACACAAATTTGTTTACTGGAGAAAGAATATGCAAGAAATTTTCAAGTCCAGATGATATATATAAACATATTAACGATATTGATAACAACAAAAAAATTGAAATATGTTTGGATATGGGCGGTTATTGGATAACAAAACAGAGTAAGAGTTTATTAAAAGAAAAATGTCATCTCAAGTTACAAATAGAACGAAATATGGATACATGGAAAAGCCACAATTGTCCAGATGTCAGCGTGCAAGGAATTTTGTCGCGTGTCGAATGTGTTTTAGATTTGGAGCAATATAAATTAATTAGGGGATTTCTTGCTTACAACTTGGGTGAGCCAATTAATGATGTATACACATCATTTAACTCATTCAGTTTAGCTGAGTCAAGACTTAATTTAAATGTTAACGACGACAAGTCGCCACAATTTCCTGATAAACTAGTCTGGACAAATTTATCGATTAACCTAGATTTGGAAGATGTACTAGTGATGTTGAATTGGTCGCCAAACGAATTTACCAGTGGAATTGTGAAAGATAATTTAAGCGATTTTACACAATTAAATAGTGAATCACAATACGATTCGATTAATGAAATATCATTTCAGAAACAAGATTTTAATTACAATTTTGAAGAATCCTTAGCATGTATAAATTTTATAAAATCATGTTTAAAAATAGATTGTTACAGTGATGGTTCACAAGATATAGATCTTGTATCTCAAGAAATTTTGGTAACAGATTCCCGATTTGATGAACATATTGAAGAACCATACACTGAGCCAATGGGTCCCAAAAATGTTTTTACAAATATATTACAACCAATTCGAATGGGTTTTGACACGGATATTGTGCAAGCAGAAATTCATAGTCGTAAAAGAAATGATCATTCCAAATTTACGATTTTATTGAATAATATGCGTCTGATGGCTATAATTGACTGGATCGAAAATATTCGTGATTATATCAGTCAATCGTCAGATCCCCCACCTTCAGAATTAAGGAACTTACAAAATAAAATCCCAAATCTTGATGTGCAAGCTGAAAAAGTTACACCATTTGAATTAATTTTGAATATTACTGACTCCGAGCTGGTTTTGGTTGAAAAAACAGATCAATTGGATACTAATGCCGTGATATTGAAAAGCACAACAGTAGTTTCATATAAACCTCAAGATAATATTAAGCCAATGTCCGTTAATTTAAATCATTTAGAAGTATTTAGTTGTGTTTTAGGTTATGAAGATGAAACAGCTCTGTCTATTATTGATCCAATAACGGTTAATATGGATTTAAAAAATCAGCAAATCGAAATTCAAATGCAAAAGCAGTTTTGCATTCGTTTATCTTATCATGATGTAAAGATGTTTACAAGAATGTTTCAATCACTGCCAAAACAAACGCGGAAAGCACAAATACAACAGAATGCCGCAAAAGCTGTGGATTTTCAGCAACAATCAGAGCATTCGAATTCAGCAGAAAACCAAGAAATATTTTGGAAAGATAAAATGATTGCAAAACTCCAATCTTTAGGATATGAAAAGCGTGATTGTATTACAGCTTTAGAATTATCGAATAATCAATTAAACGATTCGGCAATGTGGTTGCTGCAAAATCGATTTCCTGTGGACAATAAATCACAAAAAATTAACATTTCAAATGATGTAGAAAAATCAAATATTGAAGTTAACTCCATTTTAATAAATGCACATTGTATATCTATATTCGTAATTGATGATTGCAAAGATGCAGATGTTCCCCTTTTGGAGTTATCTTTATCGCAATTAAATTTTACGCAAGAATTAAATAAATACATGTTTTCTTCTCAATCCGCAGTCTTTTATGGATTGACCACAGGTTTTTGCCGAGGGCATCTTGATGCTGTAATCGCTAGTGACTATTACAATCGTCATTTAAGTGGCTGGGAACCAATTATTGAGCCATGGGAATGCTCTGCTGATTGGAATTATAGTAAAGGGCGATGTGCTGCTGAAACAAATCGACTTAATTTAAATATAAACAGCGAAAAGCTATTAAAATTTAATGTTACAACAACATTAATAGAACTTTGGCAATTAGTTCGCAACAACTGGACTCAAGATTATTACGAGGGATTTACGCAGACTTATTCTTCGGCGTCTTTAGCCAAAAATGCACATGGTATCATATCTACTCCAATAGCTTATCGAAGGCGTACGCCATTTGTTCCATTTTCCTTAAAAAATTCAACAGGAGCAGTGCTTCGATTCAAAATATTGCTAACACAACCGGGTGGTATAACTAGAACGGAAATATCTTGCTTAGATGAAAGAGAAAGCCAATGGATTAAGGCAGAACCTAATGAAATAATTCCGTTTTCGTTTGGGGCTCCAAATAAATTACGTCATATGGATTCCCATAAATCCAACTTACATCAAATTCAAGTACATATTGACGGATGGACAAAAGTTGGTCCCGTGTCAATTGACCGTGTCGGAATATTTTTTAGACAGGCTCGTCGTGAATCTAGTGAGTTTCCAGATATGCCAAAATGTAGAATAGTATTTGCCGTAACGTTAGAAGGTTCTGCTCAAAAATTGATAGTTGGTAAGTTCATTTTTTTAAATTTTAATAACATTCTAATTCTAATTAATTAAAAAAAAATTTTCGTAAAAAGTTCGTTCATCTTTAAGAGCGCATAATAAATTAGAAGACACTATTATGGTAAAAATGGATCACCCATTTCATTACATGGGAGTTCCCGATTGGCCTCAAGCCAAAACTGCTTTAATAAACCCAAAAGAAATTTTCAATGTTCCTTTAAGTCACAGTAATGCTTCACTTTATTTTAAGCCAATTTATAATTTGATAAGCGCAATTGATGAAAAAAATGGTAATTTTATTGTATCTCCCTCATCCGATACCAAGCAAAATATGAGCAATACAAATGGGAATGAGACATGGAACAATCAGTCAAAGCGCAATTCAACAAGCTATGGAAATGGTAACGGAAAGTACTTTCAATTTTGCGACAAAAGCGTTAATTGGCGTGACATTCAAGAAGAAATTTTTCAAGAACAAAGAATTTGCAAGGGAAACAGAGACAAGTTTTACAATATCATAGTAGCGGTTCGTCGTGATGGTTATCCCCAAAAGGACGGTATAGTCAATTTACCAGGTCATACAATTAAACTTGTGCCTCCATTGAGAATATACAACTTACTATGTTGTGATCTTTTATATAAAATTTCAAATATTCAAGGGCGGCTGCAACCTTCACAAAAAGCGAATATACAAGAGATAAATTTGGATGAACCTATCCAACTAAATATAAGTTTGGATGGATATAAGGTATCCGGGCAGCTTTTAATACCTCCTCGACATGTGGGAACTGTTGAACCTAAATTACGCTTAATGGATCTTAATAATCGTGATCTACATTTAAGCGCTTCAATATATGCAAATAAAGGGAATGGAATCGAAATATTTATTAGTGCCCCTTTTTGGCTGGTTAATAAAACTGGATTACCTTTAGTTTTTCGACAAGAAGGGGCTGGACATGCAGCATCTGGTCAATTTGAAGAGCATGAAAAAGCCAGAGTTGTTTCACCTTTAATGTTCTCTTTTTCGGACACTGATGCATCACCTGCATTGCAAATTAGGTTAGGTAATCGTTATGGCGAAAATTCTCCAGTAAGTTAATAAAACAAAAAAGCAAACTTGACGTTGTAATTGTCTAAATAATAAATTTTTTAAAATAGTGGTGTCAAGGATTAAGTTTACACAAGGAAATAATACACAGACATCTTAAAGCACCTTATACAAATGAAACATTTGTTATAGGTGTTGAAGTAAGAAGGGGTCGCGGCAGATATTCAAGAACAAGCGTCGTGACATTTTCGCCACGGTTTCAACTGTATAACAGAAGTTCGCATAAATTACAATTTGCACAAAAGTGTTCAATTGAAGATGCGGTAAAGTTTGAGTATGGTTTATATATTATACAAGTTTTTTAATTTTTTTTGAATCATAGATTGATCCTAATTTTGGTGCCACAATTATTGATGCTGTGCCAGGTTGCCATTTTCCATTTCATTGGCCAAAATCAGATAAGGAGCAGTTATTATGTGTTCGTTTTGCAGACAACGACACTTGCTGTTGGTCTAGTGGAATTCCAATTAACGAAGCTCAAAGTTTGTACATAAACTGTCGAAGTCATTTAGGTGAAATGCGTTTCTTACGTCTCGAAGTTGTTCTTCAAGGTGCTACATATTTTCTGTTATTCGGTGATGCTAACACACTTCCTCCTCCAATAAGAATAGATAATTTTTCCGAAGTTCCAATTAAGTTTTTTCAATACGGCTGCAAACAATGGCCTACAACTGTTAAGCCACATTCATCTATTTCGTATGCTTTAGATGATCCTATGGGAAGCAAATGCATACAAGTTGAAGCACCTGGAGGAGATTCTTATGTATATTCTCTTAGGGATTTAAATGTATCAAATATTTTGACGTACTCAAATTTCATATATATTGCATTCAAAGAAACTTTTACAACCCCTTCAATATCTGAAAATCTTTTTATGGCTACCGAATTTGAAGCAGTTGGATGCCAGCATTTAGTTTTAGGTGTACGAGATAAAAAAGTAGTTTTAATGAGGAAATGTGCTGGCGATAGAAGTCAGTTATGGTTAATGAATTCGAATGAGCAGTTGGAACATGAGGGATCTTCACCACCCACAGAACCCGGAAGAAAAACTTCAAATCTCAATCCGCGATTAGTTTTAGATTTAGAAAAAGCACCTAATCCAAATGATTACACCCCTCTTGTTGTAAGGACTGTTAATAAACAAAGAGAATCAACACAAACATGGAAGTTTACAAATAACAGATTAATGTGCAGACACGCTAATATGTGTGTTCAGGTGAAATAAAAAAGTCATGATCCTAAATTCTAAACGTTATTTGTAATATTTTTTTAACAGGTACGAAACGGTATGTTTGGTCTGCGATCTGATTCTGAAGCGGTCCTTGGGCGAATAGAATCAGATACAAGATCGCGAACTGCTGACGATTATCAAATACCAATTGAACAAGCAATCGAAAGACAAAAATTAAGACCGGGATCTGGGCAACTGAAGATAATAATGCGTATGGATGGACCTATTAAAACTATTCAAATTCGTGACGTTCAGTCCACATCAGATGCACCTTTAAATCCAGATCCACTATGGAAACATGCGTCGCATGTTCTCCCTACGTATAACAAAAATGCCATGTTATTTACGATAGGAAACAAAACTGACTTCATAGATGATTGCTATGTAAAGATTTTCTTATATAATCAACATATCTGATAATATTTTAATTAACAATCTATATATTTTTAGATAAAAATTAATCTCGCTAAAGGAGTTGGAGTATCACTAGTGTCACGTCATCCAAATGAAGAAATTGCATATATTACACTCGAAAATATATTATTAGAAACAGTTGCTACACCATATGTTCGTTCGATAGACTTAAATGTTGGATTAATGCAAATTGATAATCAACTTTTGGAATCGCCTTGTCCTATTTTACTTTACACTTCAAAATCGTCACTATATGATACACCACCAGACACAAGTTTTGCTTTAGTTTTTAATGCAAAAATGTTACCCAGTCCTAATGAAAACGCCGTCATTTTTGAAAGGGTCGTGTTAAGTTTAAAACCGTTTATACTGTTTCTAGAAGAAAGATTTATCTTGCGTTCTGCATATTTTTTTGGATTGGGCGAGTCTCAAGCCACAGCGACAGCACTAGTTGATGAATCAGAATTTGAAGCACAACAAATAGCTACAAAAATTTTAGCTGCAAATGCAAAACGATATTATTTTGAAAATCTTCAAATAAGTCCCAGTCAGATACGTTTAAGTGTTATAACATCTTCTAAATTATCACCACAACTGACTGAAATTAAAAAAAAATTGGGATTAAAATTGATAAAATTTGAAGATGCCGTAATAGATTTTGATAAATTTGCAGATCGACATCATTTTGAAACGTTAGATATTTACTTAAGAGCAATAAAAAATCACTATAAAAATTTAATAAAATGGCAAGCAGGTTCAATTTTGGGTTCAGTTGATTTTCTCGGTAACCCATTAGGCTTTGCAAATGATTTGTCGGAGGGTGTGTCTGGTCTTATCTTCGAGGGCTCTGTCAAAAGTTTAGTACAGAATGTTACACATGGACTATCCAATTCCACTGCAAAATTGACCGAAACTTTATCTGACGGCTTAGGTAGAGTTGTATTAGATGAGCACGATCATGATACTCGTCAGAAAATTTTGCAAGTATCCACAGGCCCAAACACTTTTAGTGAACATTTAACTGCAGGCATAAAAGGTTTATCCTTTGGGTTATTAGGCGGTGCTACAAGTATTGTGAAACATACATATGAGGGTGCTCAAACTGATGGATTGAATGGTTTTATAAGTGGATTAGGAAAAGGTATTTTAGGAACTGTTACAAAACCAATAATTGGATTTTTAGATTTAGCTTCAGAAACAGCAAACGCTGTACGTGAAACAAGCAAAAGCGCCCATAGAATTTTACCTGAGAGGAAACGGCTTCCAAGATGTACGTCAGGAGCTCCCGGTGGATTATTGCCTCGATATTCGTACACTCAAGCAAAAGGTCAACAACATTTATATTTGATAAATAAAAGAAATTTTACAGAACAATTAATGTCATATGAACCCAATTTATTCGATGATCGGGACTCTAAATTACGATTATTAGTATCAACAGAATATGTGCGAATATTCTCTAGAACAGAAGAAGAAACAACAATAATACTACAATTTCATTTAAAAGAAGTTTTAAGTTGTCACCCAGTAACTGTGAATAAAAATGAAGGAGATGCAAAAAAGATAAAGCGTGCACAATATTACGTTGAAATATCTTCAAATGTACCAAATCAATCTAAAAGGCCCAGAGTTCGCTGTCAGACTGAAGAGATGGCTGAAAAAGCTTCTCGACAGGTAAGTGAAATTGTAAAAAATATATTAATTTGAAATTTTTAAAGTGCTTATAAAAGAAGCAATTTGCAAATATTTGAAAAAAGTTTTGTAAATATTATGAAAGGAGAAAATATAAAACATTTTTCTTTTCAATTTTTTTAAGTGATATGAAAAAAGAATATTATAAATTATAATATTTCTTCTTGTAGATTATTTTATTGATTTTCGTTTTGTTTTCAGATTAACTACGCGAAAAGTGTATATGATGAACGCGAGCAAAGTTTGTATCCTGAAATGCTGGAATAAACCAAATCAAAGAAATAGTATATATGTTTATATTTTAACTCAAATATGATTTATAAGGTTCTAATCATCGTTAAATATTTTATTTGTTAAAAAAACTTTTTTAGGTTGTAATTTGACAAAATTGTTGAATGAATTTCAAGAATTGTTTTTTTTCTCCTACATTGTATAGTATTAATTTATGAAAATCAATTATACCGATATTTTAAAATGATAACGTGGAAAAAGGTTAATCAAGCATTTAGTGAATTCAGCAACTTTATTTATTTTGTATTAATCGGACGATTTATAGAAGCTAACGTATGCATAACCAAAACGATACAAAATCATTATATCAGTTATTTTAAAAAATTTAATTAATGTTCTTGTTTTTTATTACCTCTCTTAATTAGTGAGTAGAATAAGCTAAAAATTTTTGTTTGTATTAAAAAAAAATTATTTGAAAGAAATTGTTTAAAAAGAACTGCGCGATTTATCAATAAATGTACATCACAATATGGCAACCTAAAAGTACATCGGAATATAAAATATACATACATTTTATAAATTATGAAGCAAAATATTTAAGTCTTTATAAAAATAGTTAAGTCTTTAATTTAATATTATTGATTATCAAAATGAATATTATTTCAATTAGTTTCTCAACTTAATATTATTTTAAAGAATATAAAAATATTGTTCTAAAATTTCTTTTTGGTAAAAATTTTGTAATGTTGTTTTAACGACACTGAATATGTTTATAATTTTCATAAAAATTATGTAAAAAAATTAAAAATATTCATAACGTATACGCATAGAATAATTAAATCAAAAATAAAATTTGTTGAAAGTTGAATTTCATAAAATTAAGTAACACCTGTATGTATGTATCTTGAGGGAAGAACAATTTCAAAAATCAAATCAAATAGCAATATTAGAAATTATTCATATTGAAAAATTGTATTACAAAATATAATTCAAAGAATATCTAACAAGATATTAGTTTTAACCCCTTTCTTTTAGAAATTATTAAGTTTTTTTTTATTAAATTATTTTCGAAATATTTTTTAATTAAGAATTTTAACCGTTCGTGCCTCAATTTTATTTTTTTAAAAAAATATTAATTTTTTTGTATATTTAATTTACATAAATCTTACATTGAGACGTAAATATACGTAAATTTAAAAATAACAGAAATGAATGAATAAAAAGTGAAGGCTGTCAGCCTTATTGCAATTAATTCTGTTAACTTTAATAACCGCAGAAGTTCTTTAGCAAAATCATAAAAATAACTATTTTATTGCAAGAATCCCAAAAAAAAAAAAAAAAAAAATAGAAGAACTTTAATTACTTTGACGGACTTTATAATTAAAACCATGTTTCTGGTTAAAATTACAATTCGATAAAGACATAGAATATAATTATTAATTTAAATTTAACATATAGACTAACTATAATATAATTATTCAAAATATAAATTATGAAAATTAATCATTTTTGTTTACCTCTTCAACTAATTTACATTTTACATTTTGCTTGAACCAAAGTTGTAAATATATTACCAATTTTTGTTTTTTATACACTTATAAAATATTACAGTATAAAATTTTTAATATATGTGATAAATTGAAATTATTGAAAAAAAAATATTTGTTTTAATTTGTCTTTTTGAAGAATATCTTATACATAGTGACGGTAGTGCTCAAAAAGAAAACGTAAGTATTTTACTCTCTAAAGAAAATTATCTTTATTTTTAGTCTTATTCAGTTTAATGTTAAATATGTATACATTCCTGATATACAAAATCGGTCTTTATGCACTTGGCAGAAATATGAATTAAAAACATAATTGTTAAAAATTTATATCCTTAAATTGATATCTTTATTTAAATAATTTCAAGAAAAAATTACATTTTAATTTGATTTGTATCTTAAAATATTAATGTTTATAAGTGCGTTCAATTTTATTATTTTGTAAATTTAGAAAAAAAAAAATATCCTCATTTTTTTTCGAATAAAAATTTAGGTAGATCTTTAAAAAATGCAAAAGAAAATTCTTATATAATTAAAATAATTGCACAATTATTAATAGTCATAAATCGTATTTATTTTTAAAAAACGACAAAAGCTTAGTAATTTCACTTTTATATTTAAATATATAATTGTATTATTCCGTATGCATTTGAAATCGGTACATACATTCAAAATACGATTTTTTTATCAATTAAAAATATTTTTTTTGCTAGCAATTTACCAAAATTCTATTACTATCAAGCATTTGATTTTATATTTTAAAAAATTGGTTTCAATAACTCAATGAAATATTTTGTATTTTTGTATATATCTACTTTAAAACGTACAAAGAACAAAAATGAATGATGTTCAGAAATCTGCATAATAATAATAGTATGACTTTGAAATAAAGATAGAAATACATTTGAAAATTAAAAATAAAATATTATTAGATTGCAATAAAATAAGTAAACTTAATATAAATATGTATCTTGAAAAAATGATGGGACTGTGTTACTAACTACAATTGATACCGGCATTTTAATGATATTACAAGAAAGAAGATAAATCAAAAGTAGTGCCAACAATAACCATTTGAATTATATTTTTTTTAGTATGAATTTTTTGAATTGAAATTATAATTCTTCATAGTCAGTTGACATTTTTTCAAAAAGTATGCATTAATGTTTTTTTTGATAGAACTAAAACTTGAACCAGTCAAAGTTTCCACATACTGGTACATTATAGTAATAGCTGCTTAATTGTTATTAAGTAATACTCTAATTAAATTACTTAAAACTACTATTAAAGAATTATCTTTGTAAAAACTTTACTATTATTTTTTTTTATAAAATTATGGTTGTGCATATTAAATTATTTGAAATCTCAAATATTTGACAAGAAAGTAAATAAAAAGTATATTTCGAATTATTCAAAAGGAGCGTTAAACATATTAATATTTAAATCTTCAAAGGTAGTTCCGCCACTCTGATCCAGCATTTGAAGCATATCGGTTAATTCTTGTCCCTGATGGCCACCGTGCACATGATGTGATTGATGTGTATGAACCTGATGTCCATGATGACCGCTGCCACCAGGAGCATTCGGGTCGTTTGGCTGACCACCTGACGCTGCTGCAGCAGCATTTTGCCATCCCCAAATTGCAGTATTGCTACTAGTTGAACCACCTTGATAAGTTCCTTGTCTTGAGCTACCACTCAACTGTGTATATGTTGGACCGGTAGGAGATCTAGCCGGGCTTAATTGATTATATTGATAGCCTTCTGTTACTGGTTGTTGTCTTCCTGCACCAGGAGATCCATAACCAATAGGGGAAGGTGTATGATCATAGCTAGCATATGCAACCGGTGGTGGAGCATTTTGTGCGCTATTTGGCCTTTGAATACTACTGCTTTGCTGTTGAGATGGTATACCTTGGTGAGATTGAGCTAGCATACTATGAGCGCCATAAACTTGTGAAGCTGCTGGCGTTGATGTGTTGGATGGAGTTTGCTGATCCCGGCGACCTTGCTGCAAGGTATAGTCTAAACCAGGATTTGAATAAACTGAATGCTCAGTTTGAGGTTGCGTTGGCTGAGGCTCTGGTGCAACGGTTTCTAAATTACCAGAAATATGGCTTGTTTTGCCGGAACTGTTTGTACAAACAATATATTCGACTTCATCTGTATATGGATTCATAAAAGCATAAGCTTGTGTTCTTAGCCATATATACTCCCGATTTTTAGCACGAAAACGGTACATCAAAGAAAACATTTGCCCTTTTTGTTTTAGAACTTGTTCAAAGCTTTCCTTCATATGACTGTGATCTTCTGGGTGGAAAAAGTCATAACAACTTTTTCCCAAAAGGTCGGTTGGCGCATAACCCAATATATTCATAACTCTTTGATCTACAAAAGTAAATTTTCCGTCTATAGCGTGACGAGAAATAAATTCTGATTGACTGTTAGCTCCATTTAAATCAGATGAGTTTGATGTTGAAGTCACCTTTAAATAAAAAAATAATATTGAAAAATGTTAATTAAGAAAATAAACTTACTTGTAATCTTCCTATAGCAACCAAACAACAATGTGGAGAGTGTGAGGAATCATCGGGATTTTGACGATCAAGGTTTACGCCAGGAAATATGTCTGTTGGAGGCCAATTTTTGATATAACCAGTGCAATGAATTACAGCAAAATTTTGTCCATCACGACTCGGTCCTAACGAATTTCTTTGCTTTAAACGATTTAAATGTCCAGCAACCATACTTTCTGGGCTCACATTTCCAATCTTCATTCTACAAATGAAACCTCTTCTTGACCCCATACTTAAGCGCATAGATGATTGGTGACCATCTTTTTTCACAGTACCAGTTTTCAAATCTAGAATTCTGCCTGTATTCTGAGGTTCTTGTGTTGAAAGTTGCTCACGAACTTTTTCTCTATCATCTGGATGAATATGCTCATACAAACTAGTTCCGTACCACTCATTTTGAGTGTAATTCAAAACAGGTGTTACAGAATCCGAAACGTAAATTATACGGCCAGAATCACATGACACTACGAATAGGAAACCATCGGCAGCTTCCAGAATTAGGTGTTTTAGTTCTTGGTCTGTTAAAAAAGATGGTTTATATGTTCCATCACTTGAAGTGTTGCCAGTCCCACGAAGGGCTTTCATATGGGCAACAGCCATACGCAAAATCGTTAATTTATCTGGTTTTCTAGCTAAGGCACTGCATGTTGGTACCATATCTGAAAGTTCATTTATATATGCTGTCATTTTGTTTCGCCGTCTCCTCTCAATTTCACAATGGTTCTCTCGACTTGCGAAACGCTCCTTGTCTTGTATATTTTCTACATCCATTTTTAGTGTAAAAAATATATTCGCAAAAAAAAATAAAGTATTATTTAAATACTTAGGTTATAATTTTTTTAATAATCTTTATAGCCTCTATACATTTATAAAATTATTTGAAGGCCTTTTTTGAAGGTGTAGTAAAATTTTAATTTTTGTTGTGTTGGCTTTTATTTTTCTTTTATTGTCCGATGACAATGAATTTTAATAGTACACAAAACGTATTAAATTTACAATTTTTTTAATATTCTTTTCTTAATATTACATTTTATTATAATGAAGCACTCTCAATATTTATTTATATCAATTTTAAAATTTTTATTTGCTTTTAGATCTTAAAAACTCAAATAAATAGTTTTCTAAATTCTTAGAAATTCTTTAACAAACTCAGGTAAAAATATAATGGTATAAAATGTCATATGTTGGAAAGAAAAAAAGTATCTGAAAGAGAAATATATATAATTTTTCATTAGACTTCAAATTAACCCAGTAAACATTAATAACGTTTTTTAAGAAAACTCACAATAATTATTTACAAAAAAAATTTTGAATATTTTAATTTACGCCACCACTCACATATTTTTAAATATTAATAAATTAATTTGCATTCGTAAAGATTCTGAATTTTTTTTTATTTTTAAGCCTTTTAATTACTTTATATTAACTTATAAAATAACTAAGAGTTTAGTGCCACATCCATGAATAACAATTACGTATTAACAATTTCAGCTCTTTTTTTTTACAAAAATCAAGACGAATTCAATACATTCCAAAAGTTGTTCTTAGTTTCAAAAAAATTATATATTTTTCAATAAATTTATGAGTAAAATATCACGAAGCTTTTCTTTATAATTCAGTTTTTGACGGCCCGGCCCTTGCTATTAAATGATAAACAAATAAAATTTAAGTCTGAATATTAAAATATTTTAATACATAAAACTACATAAATGAACTTAAACATTTATTATTCAGTTTTAGTATAATAGGTGAGGAGAGTAAATCGGCTCTACCAACCTCCCAGTGGTTCTCCTTGGTAACTGTTATCAGGCTAATGGGTAGTCCGTGCAGGGAGTAGGGTGTGGTCATGTTCAGTAGAACCGATAGCATAGCTATCTAGACTTCTGCGTCCATTTCCGCACTTCGAAGCAACTGCCAAAAATCCAGAAGCGTCTGTCCCAGAATGGGCGGCTTTCTGGTCTGCGTCTGACCCCAGAGGGGCGGCAGTTTTATTTTACCTGGCAGTAGGTATAAAATGCAACAAACAACAACAAAAATGTCATTAAACAAAAATAAAATAGTTACGGGACAGGGGTTCGGAGCCCCAGAACCGGTACGTGTAGGGGGCGAACGAGTGGGCTCCCACGGACCGTCATCATGCGACCGCTCTGCATCCTTGGTGGAGCACCAGGCCGGGATGCTGGATAAAGTTACTGGATCAACCGCAGCACGTTCAGGAACGGAGGCTAATCCGTTTAAGTCGTGCAACAAACTACTTCGATCGCCTATAAAAATAAAAAGTCAATCTTTGGCTGACTTAAGGAGCCATTCCTCACAACCAAAGGGGAGGCATCCTCCGAGTAAGAAAAGAGTTATTTCACCACCAATAAGCCCGGACGATGTTTTCGAAGGGTTCAGCTCACCTGTCAGAAACAATCAAGAGGCTAAAAATATGACAATAGAGCTATTACAAACTCAGCTTAGTAACGCCATGGCTGAAATAGAGGAGCTCAAACGCACTATAAATATGCTTAAAAATCAAGCAATTAGAGAACCAACTAAAGTAAGGATGCCTATAATTGAGGTAGATGAAAACAACAATACTGAAGAAAACCTTGTAGCAAAGGAAACTGCCTGGATACTCCAAAAGAATAAAAAGAGAGTTACCGTGGCTTCAAATATAAAGGTGAAAGGTAACCCAGCAACTCCTCAACAGATTAAAAAGAAAACTAAAACTTCAACACCGAATTTAACGTCGCAGGAAAGCGTTCTTAAAAACACGGAAACAAACCAAGTCACAGCCAAAGAATTAAAACCACCCCCTGTAATCATTAGTAATTTAAATAACTATGGGGAAATGAAAGAAACTTTAAAAGCAAGGGGCATTAAGTTCCAGGCCAGCCTTATGAACAATAATCAAATCAAAATTAATGTAAATTCCTCAGATGAATACAGGAGTCTGACCAAATTTGCAAACGATGAAAAAATTGAATGGCACACTTATGAAAATAAGCAAACATGACCAATTAGAGTCATGGCAAGAAATTTACACCAATCTTGTGACCCTGAAAACATAAAAAGTGAGCTTTTAAGCGAGGGTTTCAAGGTTATTGAGGTCACCAATAAATTCATGAAGAAGAGGCTCGAGGATGGGAGTGTAGAAATGGTCAAACTGCCTTTGTTCATGTTAACCTTCGAAAATACTGAAGACATCAAAAAAATCTACAGCATTCAGTATTTAAATCATTTGAGGGTCAGGATCGAAGCCGTTAGGTCTAACAAACAAATTCCGCAATGCAAACGTTGCCAAAGACATGGACACACACAAAGATACTGCCAAAGAAACCACATTTGCGTTAGATGCGCTGGTAACCATCCAACAATTAAATGCGATAAGCCCAAAAATACTCCACCAAAATGCGCAAATTGCGGTCAACCTCACCCAGCTAACTATAGGGGTTGCATAGTTGCCAAGGAGCTTCAAAAAAGGAGGCTTAATAAAATATACAATAGAGATAAAATTAATCAGCCTAGATCGTACACAACAGAGCATTACAACCAGCCTAGATCGTACACAACAGAAAAAGTGTCACGGGAAAAATCTTTCGCCGATGTTGCATCACATAGTCAAACAAGCCAGAATCATGACATGAACATTCCTGCCATGTTCAATAATCTCGTGAGCATGATAAATAATTTATCAATTAGGCTTGGTGCCATCGAAGCAAATCCGACAAAGTTATTATCCCGCCAACCAGCCTTATGACCAGCAGGGACGTCAGAATAGCTACCTGGAACGCAAACGGAATTAAGGAAAAATGTCACGAATTGGAATTATTTTTAAATACACAAAACATTGATATCTGCTTGCTATCAGAAACTCACTGGACAACTGATAACATCCAGAAATTCAAGGGCTATGAAACGTTTTATGCAAACCATCCAAATAACCAGGCTAAGGCAGGAAGCGCAATTGTAATAAAAAATAACATCAAAATTCTCAAAGAAAATTACATCAAAAGTGAAGAAACACAATTAACAATAATACAGGTTAAAAGTATGCAGCAAAAACTTTCTATCGGCGCGATCTATTGTCCACCTAAATTTAACCTCAAGAAACTGGACTACAAAAAAATTCTGGAAATGATGGGTGACAGATTTTTAATCGGCGGCGACTTCAATGCCAAACATGTTGACTGGGGCTCCAGATTAACCACAACAAAGGGCAAAGAGCTAAGGGATGCAACACTAGAGCTTGGCTGTAACTTTCACAGCACAGGTAAACCAACATACTGGCCATCCGATCCAAACAAAATTCCAGATTTATTGGATTTTTTCATATCAAAAAGAATTTGTGCAAATTTCGTCAACTTAAAGGATAGTTATGATCTAAACTCGGATCATTCAGCAGTCATTCTCACGCTTAGCGAAAACATGATCTCAAAGCCATTAAAACCTATGCTGACGAATAGAACAACGGACTGGTGTAGATTCAAGGAGGAGTTAACAAATTCTATTAATTTGAAAATCAAACTTCGCACTGTACAACAGCTTGAGGAGGAAGTAGAAAACTTTACTAATGCGATCCAACTTGCTGCTTGGAATAGCAGTAAAGAATTATCCACAAAGACTGTAGGTGTTAACTACCCAGCTGAAATCAGAATTTTAGTCGCTGAAAAAAGAAGAGCAAGGAAACGGTGGCAACAATCTCGAGACCCGATAGACAAAAATACTCTCAACCGAAAAACGCAACAACTGAAAAGGGAAATACTTAAATGGAAAGAAATATCTACTCAGAGTTACCTTGAAAAATTATCTCCAAATGACAAAAATGAATACTCTTTATGGAAGGCTACGAAATTCTTGAAAAAACCAGTATCACAGATTCCTCCTATCAGGAAAAACGATGGGTCCTGGGCAAGAGATAGTGTGGAAAAGGCTAACGTATTTGCTGAACACCTAGCTGAAACTTTCAGGCCAAATAATTTCAACACAAATCACGTAACTATAACTGATACAAGTTCGGAAACTTTCAGGCCAAATAATTTCAACACAAATCACGTAACTATAACTGATACAAGTTCGGAAAATCAAGAAATTACTATAGTTTCGCAAGCAGAAGTCAGCAGAGAAATAAAAATCAGCTGTAACACAAAAAAAGCTCCTGGATTTGACCTTGTAACCAATGAAATATTAAAAAACCTGCCCAAAAAAGCCATAACATTGTTGACTTTCCTGATTAATGCTGCCTTCCGCTTAAAACATGTCCCGGGTATGTGGAAGGTTGCAGAAGTAATAATGCTGCAAAAACCAGGTAAGCCGCCAAACGAGGCAAATTCATACAGGCCAATTTCACTTTTACCAATTATCGGTAAATTATTTGAAAGGATCTTATTAAGGAGATTGAAGCCGATTATTGAAGACAAAGGGGTCATCCCTAGCCACCAGTTTGGCTTCAGGGATAAGCATTCTACGATTGACCAGATTCATCGTATCACTGACGTAATCGAGCAGTGCCTGGAAGAAAAGAAAGTTTGCTCTGCTTTATTCCTAGATGTATCTCAGGCCTTTGACAAAGTGTGGCACGAGGGCCTGTTGCAAAAACTTAATACGATCTTACCAAGGCGGTATGTCGAGCTGTTGGCTTCATATCTTACCGACAGGCTCTTCAGAATAAAGGTGGAGGACGAATTCTCGGAGTTGAAGGTTATAGAAGCTGGGGTTCCTCAGGGTAGCATATTGGGACCTGTCCTCTACTTGCTATATACGAGCGACTTACCTGTAGTGGAAAATGTTGTTACAGCAACCTTCGCTGATGACACAGCGCTACTGGTCGTTGAATCCGACCCAGCCGAAGCAGTGAGCGGGCTTCAAAGAGCCTGTAATGTTGTGCACGATTGGACAAAAGAGTGGAATATTAAATTAAATGAACTCAAATCGACACACATCAATTTTACAAATAGACATGTTGGCCAGTTTCAGCCCATATATTTAAACAACACGATTGTACCAATAGAATCAACGGCTAAATATCTGGGGATGACGCTTGACACTAAGCTGAGGTGGAAAGAGCACGTGAAAATAAAGGTGGTTGAGC